TAAACAATGTCTACTGCCCTGCCCTCAATCCTTATGGTAACTTGCTCAAAAAACTGAATCAAGTTTGTGTGACAATTTTCCTTGAACAAAACCATGCTGACTATCCGCAATCAATTTTTGCTCCTCTAAATGTCCATAAATCCTGTCTTTTATAATCACCTCCAACAATTTACCCACAACAGACGTCAGGCTCACAGATCTACAGTTCCCTGGTTTCTCCTTACAACCTTTCTTAAACAAAGGTACAAAATTGGCAAGCCTCCAGTCACAGGCACCTCACCCCGTAGTTATTGATGATGCAAATATTTCTGGAAGAAGTCTTGCAATTTTCTCCCTTGCTTCCCACAACATTCTGGGATATATTACATCATGTCCTGGAGATTTAGCCACCATTATACTCTCTAAGACCTCACAAACTTCCTCTTCTGTCATGTGAACTGTTTTTATAAACATCAAAATATATTTCACTGTGTTATCCAGCCTCCATTTCTTTCTCATAGTAAAAACTGATGTGAAATATTTTTCCTCTTTTCCAAATCTCAACGAACAGGTTATGGTAGGATTTGGGAATGGGAGGGAGTTGGGACTGATGGTAGTTGCTAGTAGGTGAATAAGGAGGATATGGTGCATTGAACAGTGTGAAATTAGTAGGACAGATAGTGGGATACAGCATTAGAAGAGTCATACACTGACCTTGAACAATTGGGTGAGGTCATTGACATTTTCAGGCACTGCATCAGGTCATTGGATTACATTGTCAGCACAGAATGCTATGGCTAGCAGTTCCCGATGCTTTTATACTTGTCCACCTGGAGTGCTTCATAGTTCTGCAGATACAGTGTTTGTCTCCCTATGTCCAGCTCCTGTGCCAATTCCTCGAATACTGACTCACATAGACCCTGTTGACTTATCTGTTGCGTCACAATACCTCTTTCTGCAGGCCTCACACATTGTCCAGCTGTTTGCAGCACCTGCTCCAGTTAAAATACATCTCTGCTTGATGAAATGCAGATTAATCATCTAGGCTCTTGCAACTCTGCTCAGGCATTCAATCATTCAACAGCATGTTTAATTCTGGCTGTATGCTGCAATTGTATACACAAAATATGTTTGCTGTTTGCATTGGAATCAGAGGCTAATCAAGTCTTGGTGAATTTCATTGCCACTGTTAAACTTTGAAAAACATAGCTCAAAAATTTGAAAAAACCCATCTGTCAAACAGAATCTATTTGAGAATGCATGTAAGTGAAAGCAAGTAGCTACTGGCAATTAAAATTCCAATAGAAAATTGAATTTAACTTCAATGACTATTCTCAATGATAGAAAATGAATACGAATGGCAGAAATAGAAGCACTAGACAATTAAGAAGAATACAGAAGGAAAGCGTATGACTTCGCTTGCAAATGCATTAACTATTTGAACATTACGCCAGTAACATTGAAGCAGGTGGTATAAAAACAAGGGAAAATTAACCGAAGTTCCATTTCTACTACGGTCAATAGCAATGTCAACAAATTAGCACAAAACTATTGGGAGAAACTACACACGTGCAACGGTTTTCCATTAACTTTTGTCTTCATTCCTCTCCCATAAATCAGACGTGTTTAATTCAGAGACCCTCTCCAACAATCCAAATCCCCTCCTGCACTGAGCTGATAAGGCTCCTCCATGTTGCTTTTGCATCTACTGGAAATGTATGTTAAATTCCTCCACAGTAAAACATTATCCTTCTTGAAGATTATTTTCCAAAATGGTGACTTGTTGAAACAGCTACCATTTCTTTGTTTCCTGTGATATACCCAAACTTCCTTCTCTTCCCTTCTTTTGATCTCTTCATTTCTCCTTCTTCACCTTTTCACTGTGTTCGCTCCTTCCCCTGATGCTGCTTCACTTACCACCCTTCCTTTGTCTATCCCTCACTCATCCCTTATCCAATCACCTTTCCTTTTTTGTTGTCTCCTCCAGCTCTGCTTCTCCCTTCAACTGCCACCTTCAACTCCCCATTCCTCTTCCCTTTCTTATTCCCGCTGTTTTTCCCCCACTTTGATTCCCACCTCCCCACACACATCTATTTCCTTACCTACCATGATTCAACGTTTAAACTGACGGCAGTGTTTTCATGTGAATTTTCAAATGTGCACCGTAAAACGTTCAATTCAAGCAGATAAAATACTTTAACATAAAAAAATTGCATTTATGTAATATCTTTTGCAACCCCACGACATCGAAGCACTTTGAAGTTAAAGTATTTTTGGAGATATTATCACTGTTGTACTACAAGAAATGAAGCAACCTACTTGAGCGTAGAAACTGAAAAGTGACATGATAATGAACAGATACTACATTTTTGGAGATGGTGCTTGAGGGATAAAGTTTTGACCAGGATGACAATTCTGTTCTTTTTAAACTAGTGTCATGGGATAATTAATGTACATTCAATAGGGCAGATAAGACCTTTATCAACATGCCATTAAGTGAACGCACCTTCAACAGCACAGCAATACTTTAACACTAAGCCATTCTAGTCATAGAGATCTACAGCACAGAAAAAGGCCAGTTGGCCCATCAAGCCTGATCCAGTCAAAAACTATCACCTAACTATTCTAATCCCATTTCCAGCACTCGGCCCATAGCCTTGTGTGCCTTGGCAAGTGTAAATACTTAATCTAAACACTTAAGTGATGTGAGGCTGTCTGCCTGGACCACCCTAAAATGTGAGTTCAATTCTCACCGCTCTATGAGTGAAAAAATATTGTGTCACATCCCCTCTAACTCTCCTGCTCCTTACCCTAAATCTATGCTCCTGGTCATTGATCCCTTCACCTTCCAGCAAGGGATAAATTTCCCTCCTGTCTACCTTCTCTATCAAATTTTAGAGATCTTAAATTATGCCCCCACCCCACCCCAGTCTCCTATGCTTCAAGGAAAGCAACCACAATCTATCCAATCTCTCTCCATAACTAAAACTATCCAGTCCAGCAACATCCTGGTACATCTCCTCTGCACTCTTTCCAGTTCTATCACATCCCTCCTATAATGTAGACTCCAGAACTGTACACATTATTCTAGTTGTGGCCTAACCAACATTTTATCCATGTCCCGCATAACTCCCCTCTATCTTAAACTCTATGCCTTGGCTCATAAAGGCAAGTATCCCATATGCCTTAAGCACTTTATCTACCACTAACTTTAGGGTCCAGACGACATGCAAACGGAGGCTCCTCTGATCCTTGGTGCTTCTCAGGTGTCCTACCGTTTGTAAGGTATTTCCTTGCCTTGTTTGTCCTACCTATGAGAACACCTTGTACTTATCAGGATTGAATTCTATTTGTCACTGATCTGCCCGTCAGATCTAGGCTGATCATTCTGTAATCTAAGGCTATCATCCTCATTATTTACCACTTCACCAATTTTCGTATCATCTGAAAACCCTCCTACATCAAGTCCAAAAAGTTATGAAGTGCTTCCAGTGGTTAGTCATGGCTCACATCAACTCCACTCTACCTAACTGCCTTGATCCTTTGCAGTTTGCCGACTGGCACAACAGATCCACAGCAGATGCCATCTCCCTGGTCCTACACTCATCCCTGGAGCAACTGGATAACAAGCATACCTACGTCAGGTCCCTACGTCTTGACTACTGTTCTGCCTTCAACATCATAATTCCAAACAAACTCATCTCAAAACTCCAAGGCCTAGGTCTCAGCTCCTCACTCTGTAACTGGATTCTCGACTACCTGATCGACAGACTGCAATCAGTAAGAGTAAGCAACAATACCTTCTCCACCATAATCCTCAACACCAGTGCCCCACAAGGCTGCATACTCAGCCCTCCACTATACTCCCTAAACATTCATGACTGCCAAATTCCTCCCCAACTCCATTTACAGATTTACTGACGACACCACTGTTTAGGTCGGATTTCAAACAATGAAAAGGCAAAATACTGGAAGGAGATAGAGTGCTTATTGGCACAACAACAATCTCCATCAATGTCATCAAAACAAAGGAGCTGGTCATTGACTTCAGGAAGTGGAGAGGAGGGCACGCCCCTGTCTGTGTCAATGGTGCTGAGACGCTGAGCGTCAAGTTCCTGGGAGTGATGATCACCAACAATCTGTCCTGGTCCAGCCAAGTTGACGCAACACTCAAGAAAGCACAACAATGTCTCTACTTCCTCACGAGGCTGAGGAAATTCAGCAAGTCCCTAAGGACTCTTACCAATTTTTCTAGATGCACCATAGAAAGCATCCTGTTTGGATGCATCACAGCATGGTGTAGCATATGTTCTTCCCAAGACCAGAACAAACCACAAAGTAGTGAACACAGCCCAAGTCCATCATACAAACTGGTCTTCTATCCATTGACTCCAGCTACATTTCCCACTGCCTCAGGAAAGCAACAACACAAGCAAAGACCCCTCCCATCTCAGTTATACTTTCTTCCGCCCTCTTCCGTCGGGCAGAAGATATAAAAGTTTGAACACATGCACAAACAGATTCAAGTAACAGCTTCTTGCCCACTGTTATCAGACTTTTGAGTGGACCTCTCAAATGTTAATTCTGATCTCTCTATCTCTCTGCACCTTCTCTGTGGCTGTAACACTGTACTCTGCACTGTGTTCTGCTACCCTGATGCACTTTGTATGGTACAATCTACCCGTATAGCATGTAAAATAATACTTTTCACTGTATCTTGGTACATGTGAAAACAATAAATCGATCAAAATCAAATGGTTTATAACAAATATACCCAAATACAACATACAGTGAAATGTTCAATTCAAGCAGGTAAAATACTTCAACATATAAGAAAAAAAATTGCATTTATTTAACATCAATTGCAACCCTGGGACATCAAAGCACTTTTTAGTCAAGGATTTTTGAGGTATGATCACTGTTGTAATATGGGAAAATCAGCGAAGGTTCAGCCTTGATTCTTGAGACCTCAAGCCCCTGGAGTGGGAACTGGCAACGGAAATAATTTTACTTGTACTCACTTTTTCAAACTGCAGACTTTCATGAATAAGAAGTGGGAATATTGGCATAAAACATTTTGTCTTCCAGTACTGACCAAGCATATAAATATTGATATAGAGCTCATCTTTCCTTGGCAACATCACACCCGGACAGGTTACCTTAAGAAGAAAATAAAAGCACAGTAACAGCTCAATTTGTAACCAAAAGTTGAATTTTTAGAAAAGTCTTTTACATGTCCATATGTGAACTAAAAATGAGTACTAAAATTCTATTTATAAATTTTGTATAATTTTTAACATCTTGAGACTTTATAAAATTGCACTTCCACCAATTTGTTCACTAAGAATGGCCTAAGGTTTAACAACATTTTTTTTCATTTTTTGGTTCCTGGTACTGAGACAATTGTTAGCCTGCTCTCACTGGTGTATGGATCTCAGCGTCGATCACATCACTGCTGCCCCATCATGATTGAATGGTGTTAAGATCGATCACAATTGATGACCCACACGTATCGTCATATTGCAGGCGTATCGGGGTAAAATGTTGCTCTTCATGCTGTGGCTGTCCTTTCCCAGGAGTATTATTTTGGGGGGGGTGGGGATGATACAGAGTCATATGCCACTGGACTACTTAGAAACGCAGGCTAATGCTCTGGGAGCATTGGTTCAAATCCCGAGACAGATGGTGAAATTTGAATTAAATTAATTAATCTGGAGTTAAAGTCTAGACTAATGGTAATCACTAAACTGTTAAAAACTCAGCTAGTCCCACTAATGTTCTTTAGGAAAGGAAATCAGTCATGATGGTTCAGACTACATGTAACTCAAGATTCACAGCAATGACTCTTAACAGACCCTCTGAAATGGCAGAGTGAACCTTTGAGTATGTCTAACTGCTATCAAGTTTAGTAAAAGAAAAGAAACTGTACAAACCACCCAGTATCAATGAAACCAATAGTAACCAATATTGCCACAGAGCCCGATCGACCCTGTAAAAGTCCTCTTTACTATATCTCGGGGCTTCTGCAAAAACTGGGAGAGTTCTCACACAGACTTGTCGAGCAAAAGCCTGACATAATCTTAGTTATGGAATTGTGCCTTACAGACAATATTCCAAATAGCTCCATTAGCTGTCTGAAAGAACATAGCTGCTAGACTCGGTGCGAATCAGAAGGTGAGGAAACTAACAAGAGAAAAATCAACTTGACCTCATCCTCAATCTGTCTTTTGCAGATGGATGTGTCCACGAGACTAAGGGTTGCAATGACCATCGCAGGGTCATTGCAAAGACAGTATCCTACCCGCTACATTGGGGTCTGATCCTCTATTGTTCTTAGTGGAACAAACTTCAAGCAAATCTAGGATCTCAAGCCTTGGCATCCAACAGTCAGTGTGGACATTAAGCAGTTAGAAAATTGCATTCAACCATAAATTGTAACCTTATGTCCTGGCATATCCTCATTCTACCTTGGTCGAATGAAGAGTGCAGGAGAGCATGCCAGGAGCTGCAGGATAGGTGTCAACCAGGTGAAGCTACAACTCAAGGTTAACTGTACAGCATGCTGCCTAGCTGTTTGCCAATAACCAAGCAATCTCACAACAAATGGGTCATACCTAAGCTCTGCCATCCTACCACATCCAGTCATAAATGGTTAGCAGGCAGGCAATTAATCAACTCATTGGTAGAGGGTCTACAAACATTCCCGGCATAAATATTGGGGGACCCCAGCACACCTGCACAGAAGACAAGGCTGAAGTACTTGCCAAAAATAATAATTTGATAATCTGTCTCCCGAGGTCCCTGAAGGCACACAGATGTTAGCCTTCAGCCAATTTGATTCACTCCAAGTGATAAACAAATGACTGAAGTCATTGGAAACCGTAAGAGTAATGGGCCCCAACAACATTCCAGCAATAGTCCTGCAGTCTTGTGCTGCTGAATTGCTATGCCAAGATTTGCCAATATAGTTACAACACTTCCATCTACCAGTGTAGAAAATTGACCATGCATGTCCTGCCTGTGAAGAGAGAAAGTGTCAAATCAAGCCAATTACCATCAAATCAGCCACCTCGCAATTATCAGCAAGGTGATGGAAGGGGTCACCAATAGTGCTATCAAGCAGCATTTGTTCAGCAATACCCTAATTACTCAGCCTGAAACGTTAATTCTGATTTCTCTCCACAGATACTGCCAGACCTGCTGAATATTTCCAGCAATTTCTGTTTTTGTTCCTGATTTCCAGCACCTGCAGTTTTTGTTTTAAAATCACATTACGTGGTTTGCTTTCAGCACCCACTACCCATTCACTGCTACCCTCACCTCTTATTGTCACTAATTCAGCTTGTTTTCTGTAAAGCCCTGGAATTCATAATCCCCTCATTTGCATATCCCTCCCACCCCTCTCTCTGGGCTCCATCTCCATCTAAGCAGTCAGCTCTCCCTCCCCATTTCGTTGCTGTTATCTGTTCTGATGAAGAGTCACCGGACTCGAAACGCTAACTCTGCTTTCTTTCCATAGACCTGCTGAGTTTCGCCAGCAATCTCTGTTTTCGAAGCAAACAAGAAGTGGGAATATTGCTTTAAAGTAGGAACGCAATGAACAGCGCATTTATGGTTAAGAAGTATACATTTGAAAAGAACAAAACCTGCGCTAGTGCCGATCTAGTTAGGTTCTCGAGAAAACAGCATTCCTCCTTTTCCAAAAAAAAAATCAAACTGAAATTACTGGAGAAACTCCGTAGGTCCGGCAGCATCTTTGAAAGCAGAGTTAGCATTCTGGGTCCAGGGAGCCTTGTTCAGAATTTTTGTCTTTCCTCGTTTTAGGCATTTTTTTTTCTCGAAAGATCGCGTCCACAGTTGCATGCAATTCGTAAATACTGACTTCTTTCAGTACAAGCCAATAATTAAACATTGAACACAATATGAAGTTCGCTGCTAAAACATACATTTACGGCGCGTCTGTGACTTTTAAATATGCAGGAATATCTTACCGCGTGGATTTCAAGCTGAATAACGCACTTGAGAAATTTTTGAGGCATTTTGTAGAAACACCGGTCTGGAAGGGGATAAAAGGAATGTCAAATTAGCTATAATACTATGAAAATTAAGTTGTTAATTGCCAACTGCTTGTTGCACTCACCACCGCTCTAGGGAAACGACGCGTTTCCCTGGTGACTGAGTAAGTAACGCTTGGTAAGAATTTAAACACGAAGAAAATGAAACATAACTTCAACACTCCATGAAAATTCAAAAAATAGTCTCGCATGTGTAATCTGGCAGAGGTTCTCATTATTAGTGCCTTTTACTCCCATTTTATTTTTAAAAAGGTACAAATTAAATCAGCAGCAACAGTTCACTATAAATCCCAATTAGAACGTTTGTAAAAACTGTCGCAGATTATATAAATCGTGCAAAAATCCACAGGGATAATGTGTAGTTCAGCCATTAGGTTTTTTGTTTCTTAAAGAAAAAAAGAATTGGAACAGAACATCATGAATAAATGTCTCTGATTGGTCTTGGTCTAGGTATTTTGTTACAGAGATGTTATTAAACACCTGAGGTATGAAATCAGATCTCCAGGCTCAGAGGTAGGCACCACAATTGAACTACAAGAGCCCCGTTCAAGTTTCACCATTGGCCGTGGTTGGAGTTGAGCCCATGTCCCCAGGAGCATTAACCTCTAGACCAGTAGGTCAGTTAACTCAATTAGCAATGCAGAATGATGCCAGCAGCGTAGGTTCAATTTTCACACAGGTTGACTTTACCATGAAGGTGTGGTCTCCTTCTCAACCTCTCCCCTCACCTGAGTGGTGACCCTCAGGTTAAACCACTACCTGTTGTGTCTCTCTTTGATAAGAGAGTAGCTCTATTGGCCAGTGGTGTTACCACGCTGCCAGACTGGATCTGCTGCTGTTTGAATTTAAAAGAATGCGAGGTGATCTCATTGAAATATATAAGATTCTTAAGGTTTGACAGGGTAAATGCAGAGCGGAAGTTTCCCCTCATGGGAAAACCTAGGACTAGTGGGCACAATCTCAGAATAAAGGGGCGCGAATTTAAAACTGAGGATTGAGAGTCTTTGGAACTCCTGCCACAGAGATCTGTGGGGAGGGCAGGTTCATAGTCATACATCATGGAAACAGACCCTTTGGTTCAACTCGTTCACGTTGACCAGACATCCCAATCTGACCCAGTCCCATTTGATAGCATTTAATCCATAATCCCTCTAAACCCTTCCTATTCATATACCCATCCGGGTGCCTTTTAAATCTTGGAGTTGTACCCATCTCCACCACTTTCTCTGGTAGCTTGTTCCATACACGCACACCCTCTGTGTGAAAAAGTTACCCTTCAGTTCCTCCTTTTTAATTTTTTTCCCCTGTCACCTTAAACCTATACCCTCTAGTTCATGTAAAAAGTTCATGCACCAGCACAGCCTCCTGCTGGACCCCACTTGTCACATTCTGCAAAAACCCATACTGTTTTCTGCTAGCCAGCCAATCTACTATCCATGTTAATATGCAATCCCCTAAACATGAGACTTTATTTTCCACAATGACCTTTCATGTGATACCTTAACAAATGCTTTCTGGAAATGCATGTATAGTCTACCTAAAGGCTCTCCTTTATCCACAATGAATGTTACTCCTTCAGATATTTTCTAATCAACCTGAGAGATGCCAGTTCACACCTCTGGATTAGATGGGACTTGAACTGGGCCTCCAGGCTCAGAGGTAGGGACTGCCACTGTGCCACAACAGCCCTCATTATGTTACTTTTCCAATGAGCTCCAATCCTTGTGTATATTTAAGGCTGAGATAGATTCTTGATCAGTAGGGGAATTTGAAGTTTATGGGGCAAAGGTCAGAAAATAGGACATTATGTGTCGTATCAAAGGTCGTGGTGAAAAGGCAAGAAAGTGTGTGTGAAGAGTGTCAGATCCAAAGTTAAAGGGAAAAGGGCAGAAAAGTTGCCTTGAGAAGTGTTGGATCAACGGTTACAAAGTGGCAGGAAAGTGGATGAGAGGATTGTTGGAGTGAGGATTACAGGGAAAGGGCAGAAAAGTGGGTGTGAAGAGTATGTCAAATTAAGGGTTAGGGGAAAAAAGGCAGAAAATGGATGTGAGGAATGTTGGATAAAGAATTAAGGGATGTTATGACCTTGGTCAGAAAGAAAAAGAAAGCATACATAAGGTTTAGGAGGATGTGAACTGATGAAGCCCCTTGAAGTTTATAAGGAAAATAGGAAAGAACTTAAACAAGGATTTAGAAGGGCTAAAAGCTGCCATGAAAGGTTGTGAGCAAACAGGATTAAGAAGAATCCCAAGGCTTTTTATACATATGGGAGCCAAAGCAAGGGTTGGCCCACTCAAGGACAAAGGAAGGAATCTACATGTGGAGCCAGAAGAGGTAGGTGACGTCCTAAACAAATACTTTGCGTCAGTATTCACCAAAGAGAAGGAATTGGTAGAGGATGATGTCAGGGAAGGGAGTGGGGAGTTTCTAAACCAATTTGCTATTAATACGGAAGAGGTATCATTGTCTTATAAAGTATTAAGATAGATAAGTCCCCACATCCTACTGGGATCTATCCCAGAATATTGAGGGGGAGGCAAGAGAACGAATTGCTGGAGCATTGACAGACATGTTTGTATTCTCTTTGGCCACAGTTGAGGTCTTAGAGGACTGGAGAATAGCCAATGTTGTCCCATTGTATAAGAAGGGTAGCAAGGATAATCCTGGAAATTACAGACCTGGGAGTCTCACGTCACTGGTAGGGAAATTATTGGAAAAAGTCTCAGGTTCAAGATTTATATGCATTTAGAAGCAAATGGACTTATTAGCGATAGACATCATTTGGGGGGGAGGTCATGCCTCACGAGCTTTATTGAGTTTTTTGAGGCGGTGATGAAGATGATTGATGAGGGAAAAGCGGTTAATGTTGTCTACATGGACTTCAGTAAAGCCTTTGATAAGGTCCCTCATGGCAGACTGGTACAAAAGGTGAAGTCACATGGTGTAGGGGTGAGCTGGCAAGATGGATACAGAACCAGCTTAGTCATAAGAGACAAAGGGTAGCAGTGGAAGGATCCTTGTCGGAATGGAGGGTTGTGAGTGGTGGTGTTCTACAGGGATCAGTGCTGGGACCTCTGCTGTTCATGGTCTACATAAATTATTTGGAGGAAAACGTAGTTGGTCTAATTAATAAGTTTGCAGACAATACAAAGATCGGTGGAGTTGGGGATAGTGAGGAAGATTGTCAGAGGATATAGCAGGATATAAATCAATTAGAGGCATGGACAGAAAAACAGACACATGTGAGGTGATGCATTTTGGAAGGTCAAGTACAGGTGGAAATTATACACTGAATGGCAGAACCCTTAGGAGAATTGATATGCAGAGGGATCTGAGTGCGTAGGTCCACGGATCACTGAAGGTGGCAGCGCAGGTAGACAAAGCATTAAAAAAAAAGTTTATGGCATGCTTGCCTTCATTGGAAGGGGCACTGAGTGTAATGATAGACAAGTTATGCTGCAGCTTAATAGAACTTTAAATAGACTACACTTGAAACATTTTATACAGTTCTGGTCAGCACACTACCAGAAGGATGTGGATGCTTTGGAAGGGGTACAGAAAAGGTTTACCAGGATGTTGCCTGGTATGGGGAATTTTAGCTATGAAGCAAGACTGGGTTTGTTTTCATTGGAACACAGGAGGTTGAGGGGTGACCTAATAACAAATTTATAAGATTGCGAATAGCATGGATAGAGTGAAAAATATGATTTTTTCCCAGGGTGGAGGGGTCAATTACTAGGGGACACAGGTTCAAGGTGCAAAGGGGTAAGTTTTTTCACACAAAGGTGGTGAGTGCCTGTAACACGTTGCCAGACGAGCTGGTCAAAGGAGACATAATAGCAGCATTTAAGAAGCATTTGGATGAGTACATGAATAGGAAGGAAATCGAGGGATACGGATCCTATAAGTGAAGATAGTTTCAGAATGGAAGGGCAAATTGTGTTGCTGTAGGCTTGGATGGCCGAAGGGCTTGTTCCTGCTCTGTCTTGTTCTTTGTTCTAAAAACCTAAAGAACTGCAGATGCTGTAAATCAGGACCAAAAACAGAAGTTGCAAGAAAAGCTCAGCAGGTCTGGCAACATCTGTGAAGAAAACAAAATCAGTTAATGTTTCGGGTCCGGTGACCCTTCCTCAGAACTTGTTCTTTGTTCGTTCTAAGGCACGAAAGTGGACTGGAGTTTTGGATCTAGGATTAAGGGGAAAGAAAAGGTATTAAACTGGATGTGAAGAGTGTTGGATAAAGGGTTAAGAAGAAAAAGCCAGCAAAGTGGGCATGAGGAGTTTTCAATTTAGGAATGTGGGGATAAGGACAGGAAAGTGGGCACGAGGAGTTTTCGATCTAGGAATGTGGGGATAACGACAGGAAAGTGGGCACGAGGAGTTTTCGATCTAGGAATGTGGGGATAAGGACAGGAAAGTGGGCATGAGGAGTTTTCGATTTAGGAATGTGGGCATGAGGAGTTTTCGATTTAGGAATGTGGGGATAAGGACAGGAAAGTGGGCATGAGGAGTTTTTGATCTAGGAATGTGGGGATAAGGACAGGAAAGTGGGCACGAGGAGTTTTCGATTTAGGAATGTGGGGATAAGGACAGGAAAGTGGGCATGAGGAGTTTTCGATTTAGGAAAGTGGGGATAAGGACAGGAAAGTGGGCATGAGGAGTTTTCGATTTAGGAGAGTGGGCACGAGAAGTTTTCGATTTAGGAATGTGGGGATAAGGACAGGGAAGTGGGCTTGAGGAGTTTTCGATTTAGGAGAGTGGGCACGAGAAGTTTTCGATTTAGGAAAGTGGGGATAAGGACAGGGAAGTGGGCATGAGGAGTTTTCGATTTAGGAAAGTGGGTGTGAGGAATGTTGAATCAGCCACGATCCTACTGAATTGAGGCGGGGTGAGGGTGGGGAAGCAGGCTAGTGGGGCTGAATTACTCGTGTTCCAATGTCTTCTGAGTTTTTACCTGGGCTCAGTCAGGACTGTGGGGGCCGGGACGCTGGCTCCTAGTGGGTCCTCCGAGCCTCTAGATGTCGGTGTGGCCTCCTACCGCCCACACCACACCACACCACAACCTCTCCTTTAGCTTCCCCTTTTGTTTTCCCTCCTCCTCACCAACAACCTTCCCGGTTTGACACCGAAAACAAACGACGAAAATATCTTTTCCCGAAACAAAAAAGGCGGAATGAAATGAGCCCCTTTTGAGCACACACTCCCCCACCCACCGTCTTAAGCTAATCGTCAGTCATTGATGACGGTTACCGTGGCGACGACCTCTGACCCGTCGATAATTGTTAACGTATTTTTTTTACAACTTAAAGTTAAAATGTGTATCTGTGTCCGCCTCCCTGTGTTTGTCTGGGGAGGTTTGAGGTGTTTTTGTTAAAAAAAAAATGTTTTTCCTGACGGTTGGACAGGAAGGGGGCGGTGGTTCCCAGGAGGCCGCCCTGTTACCGGCGGACACTGCCAGGCCGACATGGCGTCGTCCGCCTACAGGCTCAGCTGCTCCCTCGCCGGGCACCAGATGGACGTCAGGGGGTTGGCCACCACCCTGTTCCCCGTCGGAGCCTTCGTGTCCGTGTCCAGGGACCGCACGGCCCGGGTCTGGGTGCCCAACAGGTAATCGAGAATAAAGCGTGAATGTTACCCGGCGGCTGCTAGGCCCCGCCGCAGGGAGCAGCACTCACTGATGAGTTGACAGTTTTCCGTTTGGAGACGGGGGGGGGGGTTGGGGGGCCAGGGCCTCGGATCGGGGCGAGCTGGGATTGAGTGTGGGGCTGATTTTGGAGGAGGGGGTGGGCGCATTTGGATTTGTGGCTGAGTTGGGATTGAGTGTAGGGCTTGTCGTTGGTAGAAATCAAGCCTGATTTATGAAGCGCTTTTAGTTTAGTATTTCGGAGCCAACGTAAGGCCATAAGATCATAAGAAACAGGAACAGAAGTCCTCTGTTTAGCCTCCTGCTCTGCCATTCAATAAGATTATGGCTGTTCCAAAATTCCTCATGTTCACTTTCCTGCCTTTTAACCCATAACCCTTGAGTTTGCTTACTGGTTAAGATCTATCTATCTCAGCGTTAAATATACACAAGGATGCTTGCCCCCACAGATCTCTGTGGCAAAGACACTCGACCCTCTGTGAGAAGAAATTCTTCAATGGTCTGCTCTGGAATGAGGGGTTATAGTTTTTGGATCAGAGGCAGGAGTTTTAAAAACATGGATGAGAAGAAAATACATCTCAAAGGTGTTGTGAATGTGTGGAATTCGCTACCCTAGAGTGTCATAGATTCTTCTACACTAGTCCCCCACTCCTTGATTCTCTTCTGTATTCAAAAATGTATTGATATTTGTCCTGGACATAGTCATCAAGTATCCAAGCTCTCCAGTGTATAAAATTCCAAAGATTCACTGTCCTTTTGAAGGAATAGAATTCATTCCTCTTTTCAGTCCCAAATGTGTAACCTATTTTGAGTAAACTTAAAGAGGAGATACTAATTTTTAAAAAAAAGTCTTAACGAGTTGAAGGATTGTGGAGGGCAGGCAGGAAAGTGGAGTAGAGTTTAAAATGATATCAGTTATGATCGCATCAAATGGAGGAACAGGCTCGAAGTGCTGAATTTCCTATTTCTGCTCCTAGCTCTTATGTATTCTGTGTTCTTGTCTATTGTGTACAGATTTATTTCCTTTTTCTTTTTTGCAGCAAACTTTTAACATATTAGAGCCTTTATCTTTACTTGCTATATCTCAAGGTTCTTCGTGGATGTGTTCTCAAAATTGGACACTGAACCAAATAAGGGGATATTAGGGCAGGTGTTCAAAAGTTTTATCAGGGCTGCAAGTGTTAAGTGTCTGAAAAGAGAGAATTTTAGATCATGGTCCTTGGCATTGCAAAGCATATCGATTAGTGGTGGAGTGAATTTGAAAACTGGAGTGCACTAAATCAGAATTGCAGGAGAGATAGTGAAGGTAGTGAAGATAGAGAATTACACAAGAGATTTGAAACCCTGTATGAATACAATATAAAATAGCAGGAGTCGGCTGTGGGCCTTTTTGTGTCAGCTCCTTCATTCAATAAGATCATAATTGAGGGTGTCTAATGCTTGATCTGCCTTGACTTTACCTTCCTGCAATAACTCGATGTTCCGTAATTCCTTTTGTATCCAAAAATCTATTGATCTTTGTTCTGAGTATATTCATCTAAATGGACCTATTTGTTTCACTTCTAAACGATTAAACTTTTTTTTTGAGACCATGAACCTGACTTCTGGACTCTTCAATCAATGCAGATATCCTACCAGCATTTATCTGGTTGGCCCCTTAAGAATTTTATATGTCTCCATGAGATCAGCTCTCATTCTTCTAAAGTCTATCTAATATTGATTGAGTAGACTCTTTGGATGATCTTATCATCTCCGAAACCAGTTTAGGAAACAAGACCAAAACTGTACTCCGGCGCTTATGAAGGTGCGATACAATTGCAGTGAAACTTCATAGTTTTTCTACTCCGATCACTGTTATAAAAGGTGCTACACCATTTGTTTTCATAGTGCTTACTGTGCTGTGTGTGGATTTTAATGTTATGCTTTGTGGACAAGGACATTCGAGTTAATCTGAAAACCAATATCACCTAGTTTCTAACTTTCTCACTTCTCATCCTATTACATTTTGCTATGTTCATACCTGTTCGCTTACCCTGTCTATTACCCTTTGCAGCATACATTCTACCTAATTTTGTATCGCTAGAAAACTTGGATAAGTACTACTTATTGACTTAGATTGCAAATACAGCCAAGAATTTTAAAATTGAGGTGATTCTGATCTGGGAGCCATTGTAAATCAGTGAGCATAGGTGAATGAGATTTCGTGCACATTAGGATATGGGCAGTAGAAATTTGCATGATCTCAAATTTACAGAGAGTAGAAAGCTGGAGACCAGCCAGAAATGTATTTGAATAGTCAACTGTAAAGGTAACACATGCTTGGATGAGATCTTCCGTAGCAGATGAGAAGGCATGGTTGGGAGTAGGGGAAGCATCATGCAGTGCTTTGCAGGTTGGAATAGTAGTCTTTGTAATGGTAAGGATGTGTTCAGAAGCTCATCTTGGCTTCAGATATGGCGCCAAGATGCAAAACTTTGAGTCTCAAATGTTTACAAGGGAGAGGGATGGGGTCAATGGAGTGAAAATAAGTTTTTAGCTTGTTTTCAAAGTAATGGCTCCAATTTTCTTGGTATTTACTTTGAGGTAATTCTTGCTCACCTTGTATCGGATGTCAAGCACACAAATTTAGAGATTTTTGAGGGATCATAAGGAGTTGCAACATGGCAGAGTTCACTGTAAGCACAAAAGTGATAACTGACAGTCATCTTCAGATAATGCTGCCGAGGATCAACATTTAGATAAATAATCAACTTTTTTTTGAGGTCTTCAGTTTAGTTTTAGTTTTGATCTTAAATCTGAAGCTTGAACAAAAACGTAACAGAAAGTGTCCTTGGGCAATTAATATATTTGAACATGCTCGCTTCTCTCGCATTCAAAATGATTCATTGGGTAAACTGATAATTTATGCTGTTGGTTCAAGACTGAGCTCCACAGCTCAGAGGAAGTCCAGTTTGATCCCAAGTTTGTGATTAAAGTTGATATTGGCTGAGCCAGATTGGATTGAGCATCTTCTTGTGGAAGAACATTTGTTTGAATTCCTATAGCTAATGGTTATTCTGTGATCCATTCCTTAAGAATGTAGATGAAGAAAAGCACATTGACCAGGTGCAATTCAAGCTTGGTGATTTTTTCTTTTTTTAAAGAAAAGGTCAAAAGATTAACTTTTAGCTTATGAAAATGCAAGGCTGAAGAAGAAGAAATTCACCAAGGCTGTTCAGACAGCACCTTCCAAACCATTGACAGCTGTAATCTAGAGTGTCAAGTGCAGATGCATGGGAACATCATCACCTGTATGTTCCCCCTCAAGCTGCTCACCTGTGTGATTTAGACATTTTTTGCCATTCATTCACTGTCATTGGCTCAAAATTCTGAATCTTGTCCTCTAACAACACTATGGTTGTGTACCTCACAGCAAATGCATTGCAGTGGTACAAGAAATCATCTCAACCAGCTTCTGAGTGCAATTAGGGATGGGAAATAAAGCAATCAGCCAGCTCTCCTCCTCCATGAATGAAAAATATTGATATTCTATTCTTGACATTTTGCATAGTTTAACACTGCAGTCTTGTGAAATTTGTGAAACCTTTAACATTGATGAGATTGCAGTAAATATATTTCATTTAACTTATCTCTTTCATTATTGTTGCTTTTGAATCCTATATACATATTCTGAATACAGCCATTGAGAAATGAAATACTGTTAAAATAGAGAAGAGGAAAGATTGATGTTTTCAGACAATCACTTTCATCACAGATTTGCTGCATTTAACATTCAATCTGATAGACAGTTGAAATGTTGATATTGCATATTGGTATGTCAGGATAAATGCAGTGGAATGCATTATACCCCTATGTACCTCTTTGATCCATCCATCCTGTTGACTCACTCGATGACGTTAAATCACTTTTCCTGTCGCAATTTGAAAGGACTATGGCTGTCTGTCCTGTCAGGATGTGTTCCTGACTACCTCATCCTTTCCTTGTTTGCCTCTTCCACGCTACATGAGATGTCTCTGAAAATGTTGTCCGTGTTTTATTGAACAGTATAGATATCTTTTTTGTTTGCCAATCCCTTCAACTTACTTTCCTCTTCTGCTTTGCCAGTTTAAGTGGAAAGCTCTGTTATTGGCTCAGTACAAATGCCTGGTAGCCTTCTATCCAAATGTTTTTCTCTGCTCCATTAAGAATTTGAAGTAGAGGATGTTGGGACTGCAAATAACGTTTGCATTATATTGGACTTCTGCCTTATGTCACACATTGAGTGAGGTCTGTTTTTACAGCTCACTAAAGTTGTAATTGTATGATTGGAGTAGAATGGATTTTAAAATTTAGTTACACACATTAGTTTCAACAACCCTTCCTCCAGATGTGTCTGTACTTCGGCTACAGTAAACCTGCCTCCAGAAATTCTGAAGGATCACTGGATCCGAAATGTTAACTCTGCTTTTTCTCTATAGATGCTACTAGACCTGCTGAGCTTTTCCAGCAATTTCTGGTTTTGTTTCCAGAAGCTCAAAATTGTTGGAGTTGCAGTAAGGGTTTGGTACATGCACAGTGAACAAAATTCTAGAGAACTGTGTGTTTCTTGAATGTTTATTGACCATGGAAGAAAATTTGTATTATCTTACCTGACCGTGAGAGCTCTTGATTTTTAAGTATTGAGAAGACTGAAGCTGTTGTTTTCAATTCCTACTCCAAATCCTAATCCTGACCACCAACCACTTCTCCCTACCTGTCAGCAGTCTGAGATTGATCCATTTTGTAGAATCATAGAATCCCTAAAGTGTGGAAGTAGTCCATTTAGCCACACCGACCCTCCAAAGAGCACCCCACTGCTCACGTGACCCTATCCCTGTAACACTGCATTTCCCTTGCTAATCCACCTAACCTACACGTCTCTGGACTCTATGGGCAATTTAGCATGGCCAATCCACCTAACCTGTACATCTTTAGACTGTGGGAGGAAACCCACACAGACACAGGGAGAATGTGCAAGCTCCACACAGTCACCTGAGGCTGGAATCAAACCTGGGTCCCTGGTGCTGTGAGGCGGCAGTGCTAATTACTGAGCTACTGTGCCGCCCTTTCTTTGCAACCCTGTCACATTTCATTCTGAGATGAGCTTTTTAACTTGTGTGCCATTACCAAGACTATTTCCACCGGCATAGCATCACCTAACTCCTGCGATCCACAGCTCATCTGCTGCTGAAACCTTCATGTTTTCATTTCCTCTAGACTTGACTATTCCCATACAATCCTAGCTAATCTTCCACATAGTACCATTTGCAAACTTGAGGTCACCCAAAACTTTGCTGTCTGTGTATTAATTTGCAGTAAGTCCCAATCCCCAGTCATCCACTCATCTATATTGCTACTGGTCAAATAGCATCTTAATTTTAGCATTCTCAGCTTTGATTTCAAATCACTTTGTGTCACCCTTCCCTATCTCTGCCATCTTTTTAAATCTTCCATCTTTCTGAAATACCATGCTCATCTAATTTTGGCCTTTGAGTATCAACTGATTTGAATTCCTCCAACATTTGTGGTCACTGCCTTATGGTGTCCTGGCCTCAAGATGTGGAGAACTCTCCGTACGACTCTCAGCCTCTTTACTTGAAATTGTCCTTTGAGATACTCCTTAAAAGCTATATCTTTGAACAAGTTTTGGTCACTTGATCTAATATCTCCTTACATGCCACCATGGTTTGCTCTATGAAGTCATAGAAGTCTACAGTACAGAAAAAGGCCCTTTCGCTCATCTCATCTGCTCTGGTCAAAATCAACCACCTAACTGTTCTAATCTGATTATCTAGCACTTGTCACATAGCCTTGCATGCCTCAGCTTCACAAGTGCACAACTAAATGCTTTTTAAATGGTATAAGGGTTTCTGCCTCTACCCCGTCACATGCAGTGAGTTTTAGATTCCCATTGCCCTCTGGATGCAAAGGATTTTCCCTCGTATCTCCTCTTAAGCCTTTTGTCCCTTACCTTAAATCTATGCCCTTTGGTCATTGATCCCTCCATTAAGGAAAAAGTCTCTTCCTGTCTGTTTTACTGATGCCTCTCATAACTTTATACACCTCAATATGTCCCCTGTCAAACTCCTCTGCTCCAAGGAAAACAACCCCAGTCTGTCCAATTAATAACTGAAATTCTCCATTCCAGGCATTCTGGTGATTCTCATCTGCATTTGCTTCAATGCTATATTTCCTGTAATGTAAATTCCAGCACTCCGTACAGTACTCTAGCTGTGGTCTAACCAAAGTTTTATAAAGTTCCAGCATAGTCTCCCTGCTCTTAAATTCAATGCCTTGACTAATAATATACCATATGTTATCTTACACACTTTATCCACCTGCCCTGATACCTTAGGGAGTGTGGACAGACACACCAATGTCCTATTGTTCATTATTTGTCCCCTTGCCTCGTTTGTTCTGCTTAAGTGTATCATTTCACATCCGAACTGAATTCCATTTGCCAGTGATCAGTTTATCCATATCCCCCTTTAATCTAAGGCTATCCTCACTATTTACTATCCCATCAATTTTTGTATCATCTTTGAATTTACTGCTCAATCTTCGTATTAAATCTGAACCATGTACAGCAAGGGCTCTAACACTGACTCCCAGTCGGAAAAAAGCGCCCTCCAAATGTCACCTTCTTAATGGGCACAACTCTTTCTCTCATTCTCATTTTACTCAGGGTTTTCCTTTGTTTTACTTGCAAGTGTCCTTTCTTGTCCCCTTTGCTCTCCTATCTCCTAATTTTAAATTCTCTCTTTCACATTCTGCATTCCTGTATGGCTTCTGCTGTTTTGAGCCCCTGGTACCTGCCTGCCCCTTGGTCAATTTTATGGATCCAATTTGGCAAATTTCCTTAGATCCCATGGACTCTTACCTTCACTATCAGTGTCTCATGTGGGGCTATATCAAAAGCCATGCTGAAGTCCAAGTAGATTACATCAAAGCATTGCCCTCTTCTATGCAACTGGCTCCCTCTTCAAAAAATTCAGTTAAGTTGGTCAGATGTGATCTGCTCTGAATGAAACCATGCTGACTGTTCTTGATTGATCCCTGCCTCTCCAAACAGACTAATTCTGTCCTTCAGAATTGCTTCTAAAAGTTTCCCCACTACCGAAGTTAGATTGATTGGCCTGTAGCTTCCTGGTTGAACACTAGTACCACATTGGCTGTACTCCAGTCTTTCAGCTCTTCTCCTGTGGCCAGAGAGGAATTGAAAATTTCTGCAAGTGCCCCTGTTATTTCCTCCCTTGTTTCACTCAACTGGGATAGATTTCATTCAAACTGAGAACTGCAGATGCTATAAATCTGGAACAAAACCAGCTGTTGCTGGAAGCTCAGTAGGTCTGGCAGCATCTATGAAGAAAAAAATCAGAGTTCACTTTTTGGAGTCGGTGACCCTTCCCCAGTATGGAGGAAGGGTCACTGGACCCAAAAAGTTAACTCTGATTTTTTTTCTTCACAAATGCTGCCAGACCTACTTAGCTTCCAGCAACAGCTGGTTTTGTACTTTTCATTCAACCCTAGAGATTTATTTACTTTTAAGTGTGCCAGACTACTCGGAACCTCTGAATATGCTAATTTCTTTAATTGTATCATAGACCTTTTCCTTGATTTCTGTACCCATATTGTCTCTCTCACTAGTTAACACCAACCCAACTTTTCTTTTAAAGCCCTACCTATGTCCTCTGGCTGCACGCACATATTACTGCTGTGGTCATTAATGGGCACTTCTCTTTCCCTCATTATCATTTTACTGAGGGTTTTCCTTTTGTTTTACTTGCAAGTGTCCTTTCTTGTCCCTTTTGCTCTCCTGTCTCCTAATTTTAAGTTCCCTCTTCCACATTCTGTATTCTGGTATGGCTTCTGCTGTTTTGAGCCCTTGGTGCCTGCCATTTTCTCCTAATCCAATGCTGTATATCTTTAAATCCTGTGAAGACTGGATAGAATGGTCCAACACTTTTTTCTTTATTAGCGCTGTACTTTCTCCATGTTTCCTTCTTGAATGCATCCCACTGTTCTGAGACACTTTTACATAAATCTATCTGCTCCCAATCCAGTGTGACCAAATCATATCTGACCTTATTAAAATCAACCTTTCCATATTTGAGAGCTTTCAGGTGCTTTTCCTTAACATTTTGAATCTAATGGACTTACGATTGCTGACTGCAAATTGCTCCCCCACTGATTCATACTTGTTCAGCTTTACTTCCTAAAATAAAGTCCAGGATCTGTTCCCTTTCTTTCATGGTGTTCGACATACTGGCCTAAAAAGCTGTCCTGGATGCATTTTAAAAATTCTGCTTCTGGTAAACCTTTCATACTATGATTACCCCAGTTAAGTGCTATATTACACTCTGTAACATGAAAGGTGTTGTATAGATATATGTTGTTATTGATGCAAGAATGGATGGATGCAAAAAGTGAGCATGCTAATTGTTAGTGTCCTTAACTGACTATTGATGGGTGGTATTAAAATTTGACATAGTCTTAAAGGCATCTAATATACCTTAGTTAATTGTTGTGTGCTGTCCTGGACAGAAGATTGTGGAAGCAACTTTGTGCAGATAAAATGGCAATCTTCAATTGTCTTTGAATGTGATAAATTAAAGGACTGTTGTGTAGATTGGGTATGCAAAAAAGAAATTTCGTACACATTAGCTTGTAAGTCTATAATTGAAGTGAACAATAAATGCTGAAGCTATGTGTATGGGAAAGTTAAGATGTTGACAGTTACAACAGCACGCAGAATCAAAATTGTTACAGAACAGGACAAGGCCATTCAGCCTGTCATGACTGGCCAGTTCTCTGAAGGAGCAATTTACCTAGCGGTTCTCAGCAACCTTCCCACAGCCGTGCACACAACTCCTATTCGGATAATAATCAAATTTCCTGTTGCATGCCGTATTTCAACCTGTCTTCACCACAGTCTCCAAGTAGCCAATCGTGGCACGAAAATGTTTCTTGTGTCTCCATTGGTTCTTTTGCCCTCTTGTTCTCAATCCTTCTACAATTGGAATAAGTTTTTTCCTATATACACTCTCTTCTTACATTAAATATAATTTTAAAAAAAAATGCTTAATTCCCCACTATAATGTAAATTAATATAAATTTAAGCTCATGTTATGATGATTAATATGAAATAAAAGGCTTGATCTTGGAAATGTATAAGTCAAATTGCTACCACTCATTAATGGAAACTATGGAAAGGACAAATTTACTACATTTTAGGATAATGTAGATTGTGAGAGATGCATTGTGTATCCGTTTCAAACAGATGCATGCTTGAATAGAACGGCCATAGAGTAATCATAAAGACCATAAAATCGAATGACTTGATCTTCCTGTTTCTTATGATCTTCAAATCTCAAGTTGGATGGCTAATCTGTTCTTAATGTGCTGGTCTTAGCTAAATAATAGATCAAGATCTATGGTTAACTCTAACCTTCATTATCAGAGAGGTGTAAATCAGCCTGGCTTCCTTCAATGTAAGAAATCATTCTGACACATTCTGATGCTAGTTAGGTGTAATCCTTGTTACTTATTCTAGGATGGACTTTTTGGTTTGATTTCTGTCTATCCTCTGCAACCTAGTGATGATATCATTCACCTCCCAATGACCATAATGGGAGCTATTTTCATTTCATAGATCTTGAGATCAACTACAGAACCTATTAAAATTATTAATACTGTTTGTTTCTCTTATCCAAATAATAGTGACCTTGTTTTAAGAGTGGCTGTCCAAACTAGTAGAGTGTACCTTAACTTACTTAGTAAATATATTAGAATTTTTTGAGCAATTCTTTTTCATTAGATTCTAAGAATGTTTACAGTTTGAGTCATTATCTCAATCTGGTCTGCAAATTTAACTGAATTGCTTCTATTTCAGTTCAAACAGGGGTTTTACAGAGATGCATTGTATGAATGGACATTCAAATTTTGTGTCCTGTGTGTGCATCATAGCTCCGAATGACACATATCCTCGTGGACTCATTGTAACTGGAGGAAATGACCATAACATTTGTGTTTTCACATTGGATAGCCCAGCACCATTATACATTCTAAAAGGGCATAAAAATACAGGTAAGAACTTGTATATTTTGTTTCAGAATTTGTCAGATGCTTCTGAGGAGCAGGAAAGTCAACGTTTTGGGCCAAAACTCTTTCCAGCTCCACATTTTATTGACTGTAGCTTCCAGCAACTGCAGTCTGTACTGTCTCCTCTGTCAAATGCTTGTTTGCAGTAATCTGTTAAAACCCACAGCAAATGTTGATATTCACAGGTGCAATAACGGTAGGAAAGTTTGTAGATAAATGGGATATAAGTTTGACTTGTTGACATTTTTGCAAAATTGTTTGAAATTTTGATCGAATTAAACAGCGCTGCAAACTAGAACATTGCTTTCAACTTGGTATTATAACAACTCATACTTGTTTAGAGGTTAGTTGGTTCTAGGCTAGTAAAAGAAACAAACAAATTGATTACAGAATTTGTACTGACTTGCTTTGATTTTCATCTGTATTTTCCCTTGGTTTCAGAAAGCTACTATTATGTTTCCCTGGACCTAGTATTTTTACTATACCTTCTCCTGAATTTTTGCAGGCTATATTAATGCTGTAGTAAGAACAGATGGTATGGTGGTAATGTCACTGGGCTAGTAATTGAGAGTCCCTTGCTAATGTTCTGGGAGCGGAGGTTCAAATCCTGTCAGTCGATGAAATTTGAATTCAATAAAAATCTGGAATTACAAGCTAGTCTAATGGTAACATTGCCTATTGTTGTAAAAACATGTCTGATTGACGAATTCCTTTTAGGGAAGGTAATCTGTTGTTTCCGGGTCTACCCTACTTGTGACTACAGACCCAAACCAAGGTAGTTGAATCTTAACCGACATCTGAGATGCCTAGATTTCAAGGGAAACTAGGTATGGGGAACAAGTGCTGGCTTTGCCAGCAATGCCAACGTCCCATATCTTTAAAAAGTACAGTCTGATTCAAATTTTGCCTCATGTTCATGCATAATTTCTGTAGAAGATTAAAGACAATAGAAACCCTCGGTCTTTTTGGTTTCTTTCTCCGTCACCTGCTTTGTATTGTAGTCTTGCGTGGAAGTTAATTATTCTGGTTTTACATCGTCCCAGTTGTCAGGCATCTTCCTGGTCTGTATGACTCTGTACTACTTGTTAGCTATGGGGATGCTGCTTATATTTGTGACCTATTCAGTGAAACTTATCTGCTTGCTATTACAATTTCTCCTTTGCAGAAAGTATTTAACATTTGCATGAAGTTAAGCTTGTAAGAAACTGCATGTTTAGTCAAGCCACATAAAATTGATTTCAAAGTGGCTATTATGGTGGTGTCCACTGTGGACAGAGAATGATTAAAAGATTGACAGTTCAGAATTTCAGCAACTTAACCACAATGCTTCAAGAATTGGAAGAGTATTCTGAAATTATGCAATTAGGAGTTGCTGACTGAAAAATGTTCAGTAATTGCAAGAGATTGATTGTGAAGGGAAAAGATTGTGTATGAAATGTATTAATCCAGCAAATATGTTTAAGGGTACAAACATGTCCAAAAAAAACACTTCAGAGGGGTTGATAGATTGCAAGTGGTTCTGTGTAGAGGTGTGGAACACAAATGTAAAGAGGTACTGACATGACATCTAGAACAGCACAGCCAGTTTTATCCAAACCATGAAGTGCCTTGCTTTACTTGCCATTGCATACATAGACTGTACATAAAATTAGTATGTTATATAATACAGTCTACAAGGTAAAAGTCAGGAGTATAATACCCACTTGTCTATTTGCGTGACTAATTCATCTGCTTTATTGCAGATGCACTGTGCATTAAGACATAAGGCGTTAAGACTTCTTTAAGCATTCTCAATCCATTTGTATGGTTTTGTAGTGTAGCCCTGTTTATTTCTTTCTTTGAATTCTGTCTGTGATTTATTTTCCGTTTTGTCGTTTTATTTTTGCCTTTGCTTCCCTCTCTTCTGTCCCCCCTCCTGCCATTTTAGTTTAAACTGTCCTCAGCCACACTAGCAAATACTCCCTCTAGGAAATCAAGTCCAGTCCCGCCCAGGTGTAATCCACCCAGCATGCATTGGTCCCACCTTCCCAGAACTAAGTTTCAATGTCCCAGGAATCTGAAATTTTCTCTTTGGCACCATCTCTCCAGCCACACAGTCACCTGATATATCCTACGGTTTTTACTCTTAGGTGACTTGCACATGGCACTGGTAACAATCCTGAGATCACTTTTTTGGGGTCCTGCTTTTTTAAATTTTTTTCCTAACTCCCTATATTCTGCTCTTAGGACCTCACCCCTTTTTTAACCTATGTTGTTTGTGCCGAAAACATACCATCTTGGAATCTTGTTTGTGGTCACAGAAACGCCTGTCTGTTCCTCTTACGATTGAATCGCCCATCACTATTGCGTTCCGACGCTTATTCCTCCTCCCATCTACCAGGGTCAACCATGGTGCAACAACAATGGCTGTGCTACTTTCCTCTGAGAGGCCGTTTTCCCCCATCAGTATTCAAAGTGGTTATCAGTTTTGCAGGGAATGGCCTCGGGATTCCTGCACTGCCTGCCTAGTCCTCTTACTCTGTTTCCTCCCTGCGTTTGGAGTCTGAGCCTGCAAAGTGATCCACCTATCTGTATGTGCTATCCACGATGCTCTCAACCTCATGGATGCTTCAGTGTCCCCAGTTGTTGCTCCAGCTCTGAAAACTTAGGCTTCTAGGAGCTGTAGCTGGAGACATTTCCTGTGTAGTAGAACTCTGTCCAAATTTCCACAAAACAGGAAGAGCATACCACAGCCTTGAGCTCTTCTTGCATTTCTTGTCCCTTTAAAATAAAACCTTACGTTACCTCGAAATTCAAATAATATTAATTCTCATATGAACCTTCTTCTCTCGACCTCTGCATTATTGCCCTTATTTAAACTGTAAACCCAAAATAAAACTTTGCAAACTTTAAGCAATTAAAAATAGTATAAATACTCACATAACCTTACTTATCCAGTCAGCTGTTTCCTCTTGCTCCATTTCACATTTTGAATCCTGACATCATCTCAGAAGAGAGATAACAAAGTGTAGAGCTGGATGAACACAGCAGGCCAAGCAGCATCAGAGGTCCAGACCCGAAACGTCAGCTTTCCTGCTCCTCTGTGTTCATCCAGCTCTACACCTTGTTATCTCAGATTCTCCAGCATCGGCAGTTCCTACTATCTCATCATCTCAGAAAATGTGCCTCTGGAATCATTGAAGGTTCGCTGCGTACTGCTCCTACTGTTGCTCCAACTGAGCTTGATCTGGGCCTCACTTCTCAAGCTTTTATCAGATGCTTTGTCACCACCATTTACACCAAGGTTCACTCTGTTCCTGTTGTAGCAAAATTCATAGATGTGTTTGAGTTCTTGGTGAAGGAATGTTTCTTTGATTTACGTATTCCCATGTCAAGCTTCATTGGTTTTTATTCCAAGATGGATATTCTGCGAATGACTTTCATTCCATAGTGTAAAATTTTCTAAAAAGTTTAAACCAAGCAGGAAATAAAGATCTGAGTGACTCTTTTCAATCATTTTGATGGCATTTTATTTTTTTAGTTCAGACGTCATGGTTTTATGAGTCTGGCTGAGCCAAGCCAAGAGACTTTGTGACCATCTTTAGTCAGCACTTTTCGTTTTCCAAACCACTTTAGCCCATGAACAGTCTGAAATATTAAAAGCTGTTGATGGAAGTCAAAAATGATAATGATAAAAATAGACTATCATAACTTATCTGGACGATCGTATCTCCAAGAACCCAAAAGAATTTTGTCATAATTGAGGAGGCAGTGCAGGACTAGTGATCTAATATCTAGAAGCATTCTTTCTAATCCTATCATTGCAGATGATGACATTTGAAATCCGTAAAAAGTCTGGAATTAAAAGCTGGTGTAATGGTGACCATGTGACCACTGTTGATTGTTGTAAAAACTTTAACTGGTTCACTAATGTCCTTTATAGATGGAAATATGCTATTCTTGTCTGTTCTGGCCTACATATGATTCCAGACCCACGTCAATGAGGTTGACTCTTAGCTGCCCTCTGGACAATTAGGAATAGGAGTAAATGTTGTCTTAGCCAGGAATGCCTGCATCTCTCGAATGAATAAATACAGATCCCTAGTTCTACCTACCATCTCCAACATTCACGCCATCCACCACTGGTGCACAGTGGCAGTCGTATATACCATACACAAGTTAAACTGTAGCCACACATCATGGTTACTTCCACAGCACCTTCCAAACCAGTGATCTTTTCTATCTAGAAAGAAGGGCATAAAAACAGCATGTGGAAGTTGCGTTAATTTGCAGCATATTGCCGTTCCCATCACTGTCAGTAGCTCAACATTCGGCAACTCCCTTCCTAAATACTGAGGGTGTAACCATGCTAAATGAACTGCAAGGGTTTAAGAATGTAGTTCTCTACCACCGTATCAATGGCCATTCCGGACAAGGAGCAAATGTCCTTACCAGCAATACTTACAGAGTAATAGATCCACACAGTACAGAAGAAGTTCTTTGACTCATCAAGTCTGCACTGACCAAAACACAACCCGTCACCCATCTATATTCATCTCATTTTACAGCACTTAGAGTCATTGTCTAGAAGATTATTACATTTCAAATGCTTAGCCACATTCTAGAATGTTGAGGTTTCCTACCACTATTACCCTCCCTAGGTAGTGTGATCCAGATTCCCACCACCCTCTGGGTGGAAAACATTTTCTCAAATCCCTTCTTGCCTTTCACCTTAAAATTATGCCCCTTTATTATTGACCCTTCAAATATGGGAAGCAACTGCTTCCTATCCACCCTATTCAGGTCCCTCACAACGTTAAAAACCGCGATCAGGTCTCTCCTTGGCCTCTTCCACTCTTAACAAAAAGCGATCTGAACCTATCCAGCATCTCTTAGTAGCCAAACTGCTCCAACCCGTGAAACCTGGCGAATCTCCTCTGCACCCCTGCCACAGTTTAATCATGTCCTTTCTATATTGTGACTAGGTTCTATGAAAGAATGGAAAAAAAAAACCTTCAATTAGCTTTACATGATTCCTATATTGGGGTACTTAAAGCTGTGTACAATACTCAGTAAGTTTACAATTGTCTTGTAAAAAAGAATTGCGCATTACCTTATTGAACTGACAGCCCAGTATATGTGCTCAAGTTCTGGAGTAATACCTGAGGACAATCTTTTGACTCGGGTCAAATTGGGCCAAGCTGACATTTGTTAAGTAATCAAAAGTTCCTCAACTTCAACTGACTGTGTTTTTTTAGATCCTAATTGATTACATAATCAAAATAAGGCAATTTTACACCATAAACAAGTAAGAGATTTTCAATTTATTCTCCAGAAAATAGCATTTTTAAAAAAAAAGTTTGGAATTCTCGATGTCCACTGCATTGGTTCTGACCTGAAATTAACTGACTGGCAGCCAGTTAGTGGAGTTGTCTAGAATTGAATTCTTGCAAATACTGGATTTTAGATAACGTCACTGAAACTAGAGCCTGTGCAAATCGTTTTTAAAACCTATGCATAGTTTTGAATAAACTATTTATGCATAGTTACACTTGTCTCATCTTTCTTGTTGTCTTTCAGATTGTATAGTCCAGATTCCGTACTATGTTTCATGCTTTCTTAAATTCTCTTTTAGTTTGTAGTCTATCTGCTGGAAAATTTGGCACGTTACTCAGTGGTTCTTGGGATACAACCTCTAAAGTTTGGCTAAACGAGAAATGTTTGATGACTTTACAGGTATATCTTTATTTTCAGTCCTTGAAACAAAATAAACGTGTATTCTCTTGCTATAAAATCATTTGAAATGTATTTTGCTTTTAGGGTCATACAGCAGCAGTATGGGCTGTAAAAATATTACCTGAACAAGGCTTCATGCTGACAGGATCTGCTGACAAAACAATTAAGATGTGGAAAGCAGGCCGATGTGAGCGGACTTTCATGGGTATGTCTCTGTTTGCTTTGGACAAATGCAATGCCTAATTCTCTGCATATTATGTGAAATAAAGTAAATGTTACTAATTGTCTCTGAATTTTTGCAAATTCATAATATAAACCACTTGTTTAAAATAACTTCTCTCTACTAAAAATAGTGCCTTTTAGAGCATTTTTAATCTAGAGATATTAAAAGAACACCTCGGCAACAAAAGCCGAAGACAGTAACCGCATGTTGTAATTCAGAGACTTGGGTCCTTTTATCTTTTTTTATATTGGAGGAAGATAGAGGAAAATGCACAACACTTTTGAGCCATACAGCTAAGAATCCATGGGTTTTCTGTTAAGTTAATTGATCTTGGACATGTTACGAGTGGGTATACTGCAGTCCTAAGGCAGCTGACTTGGACCGCCAAGTTGAAACTAAGTGTGCAAAATAAGTGTAACCTCCATTAGATTTGTAACTTTAACTGGTCTCTTAGGTGCAATGTATTTCCTTCATATTGTAATTGAAAAGATTTTTAAAAATTTGGCATTAAATCATTATGTGGGTGAATAGCAGGGCACTTGAATGGAGCATTAATTGACTGGTTGAGTCAAATGTCCTGGTTTTGTAGCGATTATTTATGTACTGTTATATACTTGAATGCTGTACTCACACTTGATAAACACCTTTGAGGTTGTATTCTCAATTTTGATTTTGTCATCTTTTTCACATCAAACAAAAGAGATTTTTTGTCTTTAAGGAGAATAATGGAAAATGTATAAATCATGTTGTCATTTTATATTAACTCTGACCATTTTTAGGTCATAACGACTGTGTTAGAGGACTGGCCATTTTGAATGAATTAGAGTTCCTGTCTTGCAGCAATGATGCCACTGTTCGTCGATGGCAAATCACTGGAGAGTGTTTGCACACTTATTATGGGCATACAAATTATATTTATTGTCTATCAGTCTTCCCAAATGGAGAAGGTAAATTATTTTTCTAAAAAAAAGTAAATACACCTCTGCGCTTATTTCCGGGGGTAATTAGGTTTAACCGATCACACTGCAAGTGTTTGTATTTATGGAGTATATATTTTAAGTTGCTACCAACTCCATGCTAAGTATGATTAGTTGAATTTGTGCGAAGAATCTTGAGCTTCATTTTACCTATTCTTGAGCCTAAAATTTCAAATGTAACTTTGAAACTAACAGTGTCCTTTTGGGTACAAATGTGTACACTTGAAGCTGTACAATGATGTAACTGTCATTACATTTGGTAAGAGAGTCTTATGCCACCAGAGAAAGCATACAAGGAAAGAGTTTCAGGAGTAGAACCTGATGCCATATAGTCAGGGAAGTTTACTTTAAGTAGCTGCTTTGAATACTGGCCATACAGGTAAAGTCCTGTTATAATGACTGACTTCCTCACAATCGTGGACTAAATGGATCATATGTACATATCCTTGTATAGACAGCATAACAGTTTAATCCTACTTACTTGAAGTAATTTAACTCGTAAGTATAGGATATTTCCATTTGTTGACTCAATTCCAGTTTTAAATCAGTTCAATATTGGTGCTATGAAGATCAAAAATGTCTCTGTTCTTGTGATCCTGACAATTTCTGCAAAGTTCAGGAGTGTGGGTGCAGCTGTGGTTTAGGGGCAGCTTGTAGATTAGTCTGGAAATAGTATGGAAGAGTTACAAGAGACCTTTTCACTTAGTTAGAGAAAATTGCCCATAAACTGCAGTGTATGAAATACTATTTTCCTTCAGATGTAACCTGTCCATAAATTAGTTTGATAGGACTTGTCTTTTACTGATTACATCTGTAAATAAGTCTTAAGAACCAGATACAGTTCTGCCATGATTATAACCTTAAAGTGTCACTATTTTGTCAAACATTTTTATTCTACTGTTTATAATTGGCAAAAACTCATGTCAATATTTTGTGATGACTCATCGTGTTAATTAGCATTGGCTGCACATCACTGAACATTAAGTGTGATAGCAGGCAAAAGCAGTGTCAAGATTGCACTATGCTGCTGCTTCTGTTTCTTGGGAGCTCTAAAGGTGGAATTGCAAGTGCATTGGATGAATAAAAGCAATTTAAATTTCATTAATTTTAAGCTGGCACAAGGGCATCATTAAAGTAGTGTGACATTTTCATTTCTGCTTTAAAACCAAAAATGGAAATACATACAATGTTTGAAACTTTTCTTCATATATTTTATGCAGTGCTGAAGATGTTTTAAGAGGAGTCCTTTCAGAAAGAGTAGCAAAACAGTGTTTTATTTATATGGAGGAAAGAGTTGCAGGATTCTGGTAGGCAGGGGTCTGCGAATCCTTGTACAGGAATCACAAAATAGTAACTAGATACAAGTGAGTGTGGAAACAAATGGAATGTTGTTTATTGCAAGGGGAACTGAACATAAAAATAGGAAAGTGCTGTGACAGCTGAACAGGGTCTTCATAAGACCTCAGAATTGCTGATGTATAGGCAACTTAACTGGTTGTTTAAACTCAATCATTTTCAATATAAAACATAGTTGTTACAACAGCATTTTGCGTATACTTGAATTATCATTGTGAATTGGTTTCTTTCTTCCCTTCAGATTTTGTTACTACTGGAGAGGATCGATCCTTAAGGATTTGGAAGCATGGAGTTTGTAGTCAAACAATCAGGCTTCCAGCTCAGTCCATCTGGTCCTGCTGTGTACTGGATAATGGTGATATTGTTGTGGGTTCAAGGTAAAATTGCTGTAAAGCTACTGAATCTCATTCTAAATAATTTTATTATAAAACTTAGTCCTTCAAAGGTCTGTTCATTGGAATGTTGAAATCAAAAATTCAAAATTGGGCTTTTTTTTTGGGACCAAGACTGTATCTTTTCTTACTGATTATTCTTTCAAACGCTCTCCCACTCCTCAGCCATTTTTTTTTAAAATTGCAGCTGGATTATATTGCAAACAAAAGCCTAAGATGTCACTGGTTCAGACAAGAAACATACAGAGTTGGCCAGTCCGCTTTAATATATTTGGTTGAACATATTTGAATGTTCAGATGGTTGCAGTGAAATGAGCTAAATTGAACATTATTTTCTGTCAAAAGTGCTTTGACAATTATTTGAATACAAATTCTTTAAACAGTTTTAAGATTTCTGTTGTGCTTCTACCACTGTTTTCTTCTACAATAAGGACAATTTTTATATTCTATATTTATTCTTTGCATATAACTGGTGATGAATTTATGATTGCAAGATCTTTTACTTCCTTGCTGATGCCAGCTGCAAATCAGTTCTCCCTAAACCAATGAGCCTGTTGTCTAATCTAACAGATTTCTGAGCATAAAACAAAGCTGTCCAAAGTAGCAAAGACATATATTCCAAATTGTTGACCCAATGGAAAGAGTTTAAAAGTTAAACCTTTTTTCTGAATCTGCACACCCATTTCATGATCTAGCACACTTTTTGTACTCCTTAGTTTCCCTCTCTTCTCTAATTTCCCCCAAAAATGTTGGGTATTTTCTGATATTCTTGCAGTGTTTGCATTCCATGCTGTCCAAGAGACCACTACCGTGTTATAGCTTCTAGGTTGTGTACATCACAAAAAAAGCCATTCCTATAAGAGGCCAAGTCTCCAAATAATTAAAAATTGAATTTTATACAGTGAATTAGATGAACAAGGAAATCACCATTATACTTGAATTATGATACAATGCACTAGAAACTATCAACCCTCTTAACTTTGTAAGGTAATGAATGCTGGTAAGGCAGCTCATTACATTTAGATTAAAATTTAGATTTATTAAGAACTAAAATCATTTTGCAGAGGTAGTGACGCCGAGAAAAGTGCTAATGACTTCAGATACTTAGGAAGCAATGGATGAACTCATTCAGTACATAATGTTAGAAATATTCTGAAAATATTTAAAACTGTTTTATCTGTAAGACCTTTGGCGAGAACATCTTTCAAGCAAAGTCTGCATAAAGAGACAGTATCCCTTGGAGTCCAAGTACCTGTTTCAGAAACTCAGCTTGACTTTGAGCTTGTGTATTTAAAACAAAAAATTGACTGGTATCACAAAAATAATAAAAACTGAGAAAACTGCGGATGCTGTAAATCAGAAACAAAAGTAGAGATTGCTGGAAAAACTCAGCAGGTCTGGCAGCATTTGTGAAGAGAAATCAGAGTTAGCATTTCAGATCCAGTGACCCTTCCTCAGAAATTCTGACTTCTCTTCACAGATGCTACCTGACCTCCTGACCTTTTCCAGCAATCTCTATTTTTGTATCACAAAAATAATGTTTTAAGCTGAAGTTTTAAGTTGCAATTTATTTTGCCAACCAACTATCAATACTGGACAATTAGATTTTTGTGCAAATAACTTTTTAGAAGTGTAATTGCAAATCCTGGAAAATTTTTTATCATCTACTGAGCTATACTTAATTTGCTTTTTGATTTAAATTTTAGATAATTTCATTTGGATGAACTCTGTTATCTTTATCCTAGCTCGCCCAGATCCTAGTCACCCATTGCTGCTGCCTTTACTGATTTACATTGACTCCTATTCAAACCATGTCTCAGTTTTAAAATTCTCATTTTGTGTTCAAACATCTGGCCTTGCTTCTCGTAACTTCCGACAACCCTCGAGTCTCTACCTTCTTCACATTCTGGCTTTAGTGTATTCCTGATTTCCTTTATCCTGTAAATTGACAGTGTTACCCTTCAGCAATTAGGCATAAGCTCAGGAATTCTGAGGCCTAACACTTAACTCCGCAAACTATCCTCTTTTTAAGACCTGTGGCTTTGGACACTGGACCTAAAATCCTCCAGCGTAGTGCCAAATTATATCAAGCCATTTGTATCGCTCTTACACAAATGTCCCACAATCATTTACTATCTTAAAGTCGCATGTAAAGCACAGTTTTGATCACCAGTTACTTGTTTTCTTATGCTTATATAATTTCTTCCATAGTGATGGCGTAATAAGAGTGTTCACTGAGGCTGAAGAGCGGACAGCCACTGCTGAGGAGATTCAAACTTTTGAGAATGAGTTGTCCAGTGCAACTATTGACCCTAAAACTGGAGATTTGGGAGATATAAATATTAATGAACTTCCAGGAAGGGAACACCTTGATGAACCTGGTATGTTATTGCATTATAAAATAACAATTTAGCACTGAATTGAAGTACAAGTTCATCAGTGAAATTATTATTAAAAGTAATTTAAAATAATTAAAAATAAAACTCCAAATTGTTATTCACAAAAGATTATGCAAAGATTATTTTATGTCAAATGCATGTCTGTATTTTTTTTTTAATATAGAATATTTTGAGGTGGAAGTGTTTTATCCCATTCTGGTGCCTGATAATGTATCTCTCAATATTAAAGTAATTGACTTTGCAGGCTGCAATTAATGGTTCTATTTCAAATTTACAATTTTACTTCTGTCTACTATTTGAAAATATCAACATTGTACAGTTTCGAAGTAAAACAGTATAACCTCTGGCTCCTTTTTTTTTAAGTCGTTATTAGCAGTTTGGTCAGTAAGGATTTGTGCCCTTGAATTGTGTTGGGGTTTGTTACTGTAGCCATGGAGAATAAATTTTAGCAAAAGGATGTATTTTCCAATGATGAACGGTAATGACTGCAGGACAAGATTTCACTTGTTGGTGCTTTTACTGTAACAAAGTAAAGTAAATAGAAATCAAACATTGATTGTCAGGCAACAAATGTACCAAGCTGAAGAAAGAGCAGTTTTGCATTAGCTAATGTAAGACACCTCTTCATTACAATCATTTCCGTTGTGAGCTGTGTGTTTAGCGTTCCAAGAACAAGTCCAAAGTTAATCCAGGCTGTCTATTAGGCTCACTTCTCCTGTCATGCTAGGTCAAAACTTTGTGTTCTTCTTCAAGTCAGTTTAATCAGTTTGAGTCTTGTAGATCGAACTTTGACCAGCAAGACTTACCTTGTTGGCTTGCTGTTCCTTAACTTTCCAAAAGTCTGATCAAGACTGTTTCCTTCCTGCCTTGTTTATTGATATAAAAGTCTTTCTCTGCTTCTCTTCACAATCGTATTGACTTTGTTGGTCTTCCTGTCCAATTTCTTAAGTAAGACACATTTTAATTACAATAATTTCCATTGTGTCTGGCAAGTGTTTAGCATTCCAAGAACAAGTCCAAAGTTAATCCAGGCTGTCTATTAGGCTCACTTCTCACAATCGTATTTACTTTGTTGGTCTTCCTGTCTCCCATACCTCAAAATGTAGCTGTTCATCACTTTTACAGGTAGAATCAGGAGAATTCATAATGGTGGGGGAGGGGATAGAAAAATAGCAGAGATGCAAAATGACAACCTTGTGTCATTTCACTGAGGAATATGCCAGAAATCTCCAGAGTGGGTAATCCAAGTAACTAGGACGAATGAGATTCTGAAGAAGTCATTTTGGACTTGAAACATTAACTCTGTTTCTCTCTCCACAATTTCTGTTAGACCTGCACTTTCTGTTTTTATTAGGGAAAATGAGGAGCTGAAGGAAACTAATGGGGCTGAAAGTTGATAAGTCCCTGGAATGTGATACCCCTACATCATTGTTGAAGGAGCTGCCTACAGAAAGCCAATGCACTGGTGTTCGTCATCCAAAGTTCTCCAGTTTCTGGAATAATTCCTGCAGATTGGAAGCTAGCAAGTGTTGCCCTACTATTTAAGAAGGGAGCAAGAGAAAAAACTGGGACCTGTTAGCCTTTCATCAGTAGTAGGGAAAATATTAGAATCTGTTATATAGAATGTGATAAATGGACACACAGATCAGGAATAGTCAGCACACCTTTGTGAATGAGTAATAGAGCTGGGCTAACCCGTAAAGCGTTATTTGAGGATGTTATTAACAAATTTTATCTTGTGATGTCGATGGATATGGTATAATTGGCCTTTCAGAAGGCTTTTGAAAAGGTTCCCTTCCTTCCCAGGATTGGCTGACTGGTCAAAAATAGCACGTAGGAATAAATAGCTGTTCTTGTTTTGCTGATTGTGACTTTTGGGATACCACAGTACCAGTTCACAATATATGTTGATGATTTGGATATGGGGACCAAATGTTATATTTCCAAAATTGTGCATGGTACAAAGCTAAGTGTGTTGTGAAGAAACTTAAGTCAGAACATGGGCTGCAACATGGCAGGTGGAATATAATGGGGAAAAATGAGGTTATCTGCTTTGATAGAAAGAGCAGATGTGCAGAGTACTTCTTAAATGGTAAGAAGTTCAACAATCTATTGGGAAGACTAATGGAATATTAGCCTTTATTGCAGGAGGATTAAGTTTAGGGGTAGTGAAGTCTTGCTTCCATTTTGTAGAAGCTTGATTAGAAAGCTCCTAGCATACTGTATGCAGTTTTGGTCATCTTGGAGAGATTGAAACAAAGGTTTACCAGTCATGTTTCTGGGATGGCAGGACTATCCTTTGTAGAAAGATTAGGCAAACTGGGCGGATGTTCTCTAGATTTTGAAAGAATCGGATGTGATCTCCATGAAACCTACAAGCTACTTCAGAGTTGAAGGCATTGAAATGTTGATCAGCCACAATTGTATTAAATTGCAGAACAAGCTTAACAAACTGAATGGTGTACTGTTCTTGTGTTCCTAAAATAAAACAAACCAAGCTATCCATGTATAACAGTGGAAAAGATTTCAAACACAAGGCAAAACAAAATTCAGTCTACTTCTGAACACTATATCACTATACAGTTATTTGCAGTTCAGAAAAAAATGTCTTCCTTATCAAAACTGTAGTTGTGACTTGCTGCTTCTTTCTTTCTATTTCTAGCCCTCTGATCTGTGAAGCATTTTCACTGACCACTCATTCCACTGAGAACTTAGATTTCTTCAGTTGTTCAATGATATGCAGAGTTCTAACTAAACATTCCTGGTCTGAAAGTTTTCACAAATTACAACCCTTATGCTGAGGTGACTGATTCCAGCCACTGGTCTGAACAAACTTGTTTTTTAGGACAAACTATTCTTGCACCTGACTTTAGTCAGGTCTTCTTTGAACTGAATTCAAATGCCTTTTGCTTTTTTTTTATTAAAAGAAAACTTGCTTAATCTAGGTTTGTGAAACGAATGGTTTAATATTTTTTTTTCTCTTCTCCAGTTGTAAAACCCCATAATATGAACAATCCTTCAGCCATCTCTGACACTCGAGTTTAAAATCAAAAAGATTGGCCTAATTAGTTATTTAAACTCTTCACACAAATAGACCAAATCCATATGGCACTGGATTAAAATCCAAACTCATTAAAAAAGCAGCATATATCATTCAACTTCATCAGTTTCATTTCTTAAAAAAAAACTACCACCTAATTGCTATTTATAATAATATTGGAGTTTGATAATTGTGCACCATGCAAGAATCTTCCAATAATTTATTGCATTTCATTACGTTGAGTTTTTTTAAATTTTAGAATGGACAATCTTGACTTTGAAGAAAATGCAGCATTGGGGGGATTTCTTTTTTCTATCGATTTTTCACTTCATTTCTATATTTCTAAAGACAGCAACCTCTGTGGAGTTCAATGTTAGAGATAAAAATCTTTCTATCTACATTGGATTGGCTAGCTTATTATTCTGGTATCTAAAGCCAGAGAATAAATGTTCACAACTTGGCACATGATCATTTGAAAATTATGTTTTCTGATAAATCCAATGCCATTGCATAAGGGCAAATTGTACTCAGACAAGAGGTCATGTTTCGGTTGAAGTATTCACTGTTTGGACTTTGGACATTGTTTGGTTTTCCCTTTATTTTCCAGGTACAAGGGAAGGTCAGACACGGCTCATCAGAGTTGGAGATGCTGTTCATGCTTATCAATGGAGTGTTGTTGATGGGCGATGGATAAAGATCGGTGATGTGGTGGGCTCATCGGGAGGAACCCAGAAAACCTCAGGCAAAGTTCTTTACGAAGGCAAAGTATGTTTCAGAATGGGAAAGAAATGTAATCTATTCTTGCAGTATTTATGCTTTTAATTTATTTCCATAAAATATAAAACTCAATAGTCTCTATTACAGTTTTAAAAATTTAATTTGATTCTTCTCTCTGACAGCAACAATGTTGTCTAGTGCATTTATTTGGTATAGGTTCACTTCTGTGAATATTTAATACTCTCCTTTTGAACTCACTCCTTTGTTATCTGCCAATTGAATATAGTATGAGCCAATTAATTTCTTCAGAACAGCTTCCAAACCAGTGACCCCCTACCACCGAGAAGGACAGAGGCACCAGATGTATGGAAATGCTGCCAACTGCAAGTTCACCTCCAAGCCACACGCCATCCTGAGTTGAGCCTTTATGGTTGATTCTTCACTGCTGAGTCTAAATGCTGAGACTCCCTTTCTAACAGCACTGTCGGTTTACTCACACCATGTGGACTGCAGTGGTTTAAGAAGGTGGTTTGCTAATGCCAACATTGAGAGCAATTAAGGGTGAGCAGCAAATGCTGCAGTGACTACATCCTGTGAAAACAAAAGAGTAAAATCTAAGGTTATCCCAACAAAACAAAAATGAAACCGCATTTGAGTATTTTGTTATCTTGATTTATCTAGCTCCTGGAGCATTCATAATTCATCTTTGCCAACCTTGTAATATTTGGTTGCTGCTAACGTGTTGTCAAACCAGATTGAAATATAGAAAGCAGCCTCAAGATCCAAACAACATCCCATTCTGTATCTACAGCCAGGGGAAGTGATGGCCTAGTGGTATTATCACTGGACTGTTAATCCAGAGACCCTGATAATAATCTGGGGACTCAGTTTGAATCCTGCTATGGCAGATGGTGGAATTTGAATTCAATAAACACCTGGAAATAAGAATCCAACAATGACCATAAATCCATTGCCGATTGTCAGGGGAAAAACCCATCTGGTTCACTACTGTCCTTTAGGGAAGGAAACTGCCATCCTTCCCTGGTCTGGCCCACATGTTACTCCAGACTCTCAGCAATGTGGTTGACTCTTAACAATTAGGGATGGACAATAAATGCTGCTTGCCCAGCGACACCCTCGTGCTGTGAATGAATAAAGAAAAAAAAAGCCAAGTCAGCAACACCCTTAAAAACAGCTACTTCCTGAAGAGTCTACCAACTTCTTTTGTATTCTCATAAAGATCTACTGCCTGCCATGGCATCCCACCCAATCACTGTGCATTCCTTAGCCAAACCTGCTTGTTTCTACATCCACATTGATGTGAACCCCTGTGAGTGGTTGCCCAATGTCCCCAGTCTAACCTCTTCCACATCTGAGATAACATGGTGGGAACGTAATATGATCTTGGTCCAACAGGTTGATGTGATGGTTATAGTGTGTAGGTGAGGGACAATGAATATGCTAGTTTGCTTCTTACTTAAGCCTACGTAACTGCAAAAAGAGAACTAAAGTCTTTCCCTATCAGTACACATCCATTCCATCAGCAAGCCCTCAGCTATGCCTCTGCTTTGCAACATGAGGAAACCAGGTGCCTCACAACCCCAGGCTAAAGTTTTAGAGGAACTGAGAAAGTTTGGATCCCGTGTGTATGTCTTGACACTCGTGGATCAAACCCCCAGCTATGAACAAATAGCTCCATGCCAACAAAAGTAAACCATGATGTAAAATCTGGAGTGAAGCCCAAAACCAGTCTTGTTCTTTCTGGAAAGGAAGCTATTGTGGTACACTGTGCAATGTGTTGTCTTGTGTATTTGCAACCAAACTTGATAATCTGTACTGACTTGGTCCCTCCTTGTCGTCACATAGATGATTGTGAATTGCATTATAGTTTGATGTTTTTTTTTAAAATGGCTCTTAAGTTTGAGCATCTATTTTTCTTCTTTGTTTAAAGGAATTTGATTATGTATTTACTATTGATATTAATGAGGGTGGACCTTCAATGAAACTGCCTTACAATATCACTGATGACCCCTGGCTTGTGGCCCACAATTTCTTACAAAAGAATGACCTGAATCCAATGTTCCTAGATCAGGTTGCAAATTTTATTATTGAGAACACAAAAGGACATACACTCGGATCAACAGGCTCAGGATTTTCAGACCCTTTTACAGGTCAGTGAAACGAGTGTACTGCAAATAACTCTGTTTGCTAAATGTAATGAGTCCATGCATTCTGAAGTATTCTGCTTGAATGGTGTATTTTTATTTTAACCACTGAGTATGTCGTGAAGAAATTGGACAACGGCATACTTTCAGGAATTAGCTTAAAACACCCTTGACCTTGTTGAACTTTTTTCATAAAAAGCCAAAATACCCAAAAATGAAAGCTATTTCACTGATTCCTACAAACGTATTCAAAAAAAAGTTACAGGGGTTGTTGCTGCTTGTTAGGGAAAAGGAAAAAAAAATTTCACATCACTTGACTGATGTAATCCAATGATCAAGATTGCAGATCTGATGAGAAATTTTACTTTGTTAAAGAATTGGTTAAAAGAGTTCCAGTCCAAGTGGAAGAAATTTGAAAAAAATTCTCTTGAAGGGATGAGGTTGATTTATGGTTGTTTCTTCGGTTTTTCTAGTTTTAAAAGCATTGCTATTTCTTGATTAACCTATTTTGCTACCCAGTCTGACACACACTCACATATGCTTTATTGCCTGCATGTGCTAGGGTAAAGATGTGTCACATAGAATAGAAAAGTTTGTTTAAGGGGAGAAAAAGAAACCAGTTATTTTGGTCCACATGGGAAGCACTGATTCAAAATTTCAGGCCTTTCTTTACCTTACAATATGAATTTAGGAAATTAAGAGTATAGTTAACATACTGAACTAACCAGATGCTTCCCATCCATGGAGAATAATTGCCATGCCGCAGCATTGATGACATTGCCCAATAAAATATAATTTCTCCCTCTGATACATACCATGCAAATTTCCTACTGTTCCTGGCCTTTTTGTGTTATTGTGCATGGTTGGAGAATTAACCCTGAATTTGTCATCAGAAATTTTGTTCCTTGTTTCCTATTCTCTAAATCCCATTTTCTAGACTAAAAATAGTTGTCGCTTCTCTGGTTATTTAGTTCCTTGTTACTGTGTTTCTAGCTCTTGCTTTTTGTGACATTTGGATATATTGCAATTCAACATTTCTCTCAACACTTTGGCAGCAAATAGCTTCTTCTCATGAACTGAGAGTTTCCTGTTTCCTATTTCCTATGACCTATGTCCCTGTTGCACACCATACTGTAAACAGCATTTCCAAAATAAACAAATTTATTAGGATACCAAAGACACTGCCTTACAGCTTCTGCCTGTAAATGAAACTGTTACCTCCAGGTTTTGCATATTTATTTAATAGCAAGTTCTTTTTCTCCTTTGGAAAGAAATCAGGTCTATGTAATGACAATCCATCTGATAGAAGTTATTATTGGTTGACCAGCTGTATGCTTAGAAGTCATAGAAGTTTGAAGTTAAAAATTGTAGAAAAATATTAATGGTAGGGTGAATTTTATGAGGGCAGGAATTTTGGATCTGATTTCACAGAACGTGTTATTCCAACAATAGCATGAACCAGTTTACAGAAATGGGGAGAAACATTCTTTGTTCATGTTTTATCCAATTCCTTTTTGCAGTTTGTCACTTAATTTACTTTTACGACCCTTACAGGTAGCAGATTCCAGATAATTGCAACTAGCTGCTTTTTTTAAAACAAAAGGTCCTCTCTCCTTTGGCACTGTTTGGCAGTTCTTTGTCTTTTTTTTTCTAGATACCAATACTACTACTGGAAACAAGATAAACAAAGGAAAACAATCTCTAAACTTTATAGATATAGAAATCTGTTAAATCTCTCCTTTATCTGCTTTAAGAAGAACAACCCAGTTTTTTAGTCTCTATGTAATTCACAGACTGGTATATATAGTAGACACATCTATTATTTGTTAGTGGGAAAAGTACTTTACAATCCATTCTGGGACTATACTCATTGGAGTTTAGACGGATGAGGGTGGATTTAATTGAAACTTTCAGAATACTGAATGGCCTGGACAAAGTGGATGTTGGGAAGATGCTTCCTTTGGTAGGAGAGTCTCGGACCTGTGGGCACAGCCTTAAAGTAAAGGGAAGACCTTTTTAGAACAGAGATAAGGAGAAACTACTTCAGCCAGAGAGTGGTGAATCTATGGAATTCACAGAAGGCTGTGGAGGCCAGGTCATTGAGTACATTTAAGACTGAGATAGATAGGTTCTTGATTATCAAGGGGATCAAGGGTTACGGGGAAAAAGCAGGAGAATGGGTTTGAGGAACTTATCAGCCATGATTGAATGGTGGAGCAGACTTGGTGGGCCGAATGGCCTAATTTCTGCTCCTATGTCTTACTGTCTTATGTGAATAGTTGCAGAGATAAATCTTACCTTTTTTTTTGTTGGTGGCAAGGTTTTTGAGCTGAGTTCAACACCAACTAATGTAAAAGATTGCAGATGCCGACAATCTGAATTAAGTCTAAGTTGACAACTGAGCATGACTGACTGACTGACAGTCCCTCCCTCATCAGCAAATTTTATGACTAGGAAAGGAAAACACTGCTCGTTTTTAGTGTAATGAAATTTAAACTTGCATTTCTGAACGACTGATCCTAATTTAAAATAGGTATAAGCATCTACTCCTTTATAATCAAATCAGTCAAATTTACTAATTTATAATAAACTAAATATTTTGCAGGTTCAGGTCGTTATATACCAGGGACTGGATTAAGCACTGGAGGCTCAAGTGGAGTGGATCCATTTACAGGTAATGTATTTTTTTTATCTGGAGAATAGCTGTTTTTAAATAAATCAAATAATTGAATAGTTTTTTTTTTGAAAGAAGCTGACGGTAACAGCTCCTTGAAAATACACGGAAGGAGGAGAGAGACCAGAGTGAGCTTAGGGCCCTTAGAGAATGAAACCGAGGAAATGATAATGGGGAACCAGGGTATGACATAGGAGTTGAATAAATACTTTGCATCAGTCTTCATGGTAAAGAACACTAATAGTGTTCCAAAATTAGTAAATAATCTGGAAGCTATGGGTGCTGGTGTGGTGCTGTGGAGGAGGAGAAGAATTAATCACAATAGTTATCACTGCAGAAGTACTAGGAAAGCTAATGGACTTAAAGGCCAGTGGTTTCTTGGATCTGATGGATTCACCGCCCTTTTGATTTTAAAGGAATTGGCTACAGAGATAATGCACTAGTAACAATCGGCCACGAATCCTTCGATTCTGGAAAAATCCAGAGGATTGGAAAACTACTAATGTAACGTCCAGATTCAAAAAGAGAGGAAAACAACGATAAGATGACTATCGGCCGGTGACTTAACATCTGTCATTGTGGATAGTGTAAGAATCTATTATGATGGAAATAATGGGTGAACATGTAGAAATACACAATATAATCAAATAGGGCCAGCAACGGTCTGTGAAAGGGGATATCATGCCTGACAAATTTGCTGCGGTTCTTTGAGGAGGCAATAGAACAAAAGAACAAAGAAAATTACAGCACAGGAACAGGCCCTTCGGCCCTCCAAGCCTGCGCCAATCCAGATCCTCTATTTAAACCTGTCGCCTATTTTCCAAGGATCTGTATCCCTCTGCTCCCTGCCCATTCATGTATCTGTCTAGATACATCTTAAATGACGCTATCATGCCTGCCTGTACCACCTCTGCTGGCAACGCGTTCCAGACACCCACCACCCTCTGCGTAAAGAACTTTCCACGCATATCTCCCTTAAACTTTTCCCCTCTCACCTTGAAATCGTGACTCCTAGTAATTGAGTCCCCCACTCTGGGGGGGGAAAAAGCTTCTTGCTATCCACCCTGTCTATACCTCTCATGATTTTGTAGACCTCAATCAGGTCCCCCCTCAACCTCCGTCTTTCTAATGTAAATAATCCTAATCTACTCAACCTCTCTTCATAGCTAGCGCCCTCCATACCAGGCAACATCCTGGTGAACCTCCTCTGCACCCTCTCCAAAGCATCCACATCCTTTTGGTAATGTGGCGACCAGAACTGTACGCAGTATTCCAAATGTGGTCGAACCAAAGTCCTATGCAACTGTAACATGACCTGCCAACTCTTGTACTCAATACCCCTTCCGATGAATGAAAGCATGCCGTATGCCGCCTTGACCACTCTATCGACCTGCGTTGCCACCTTCCGGGTACAATGGACCTGAACACCCAAATCTCTCTTTGCATCAATTTTCCCCAGGTCTTTTCCATTTACCGTATAGTTCGCTCTTGAATTGGATCTTCCAAAATGCATCACCTTGCATTTGCCTGGATTGAACTCCATCTGCCATTTCTCCGCCCAACTCCAATCTATCTATATTCTGCTGCGTTCTCCGATAGTCCCCTTCACTATCTGCTATTCCACCAATCTTAGTGTCATCTGCAAACTTGCTAATCAGACCATCTATACCTTCCTCCAGATCATTTATGTATATCACAAACAACAGTGGTCCCAACACGGATCTCTGTGGAACACCACTGGTCACAGTTCTCCATCTTGAGAAACTCCCTCCCACTACAACTCTCTGTCTCCTGTTGCCCAGCCAGTTCTCTATCCATCTAGCTAGTACACCCTGGAACCCATGCGACTTCACTTTCTCCATCAGCCTACCATGGGGGACCTTATCAAACGCCTTACTGAAGTCCATGTATATGACATCTACAGCCCGTCCCTCATCTATCAACTTTGTCACTACCTCAAAGAATTCTATCAAGTTGGTAAGACATGACCTTCCCTGCACAAAACCATGCTGCCTATCACTAATGAGCTCATTTTCTTCCAAATGTAAATAGATCCTATTCCTCAGTATCTTCTCCAGCAGTTTCCCAGCCACTGACATCAGGCTTACCGGTCTATAATTACCTGGATTATCCTTGCTACCCTTCTTAAACAAGGGGACAACATTAGCAATTCTGCAATTCTCCAGTTCTCCAGGACCTCACCCGTGCTCAAGGATGCTGCAAAGATATCTGTCAAGGCCCCAGCTATTTCCTCTCTCCCTTCCTTCCCTCAGTAACCTGGGATAGATCCCATCCGGACCTGGGGACTTGTCCAACCTAATGCCTTTTAGAATACCCAACACTCTTTCTTCCCACCCCCCCACCCCCAACCTTTATGCCGACTTGACCTAGAGTAATCAAACATCTATCCCTAACCTCAACATCCGTCATGTCCCTCTCCTCAGTGAATACTGACGCAAAATACTCATTAAGAATCTCCCTCATTTCCTCTGACTCCTCGCATAACTTCCCTCCTTTTGTCCTTGAGTGGGCCAACCCTTTCTCTAGTTACCCTCTTGCTCCTTATGTATGAATAAAAGACTTTGGGATTTTCCTTAACCCTGTTTGCTAAAGATATTTCATGACCCCTTTTAGCCTTCTTAATTCCTCATTTCAGATTGGTCCTACTTTCCTGATATTCTTCCAAAGCTTCATCTGTTTTCAGTCACCTAGACCTTATGTATGCTTCCTTTTTCCTTGTTGCTAGTCTCACAATTTCACCTGTCATCCATGGTTCCCTAATCTTGCCCTTTCTATCCCTCATTTTCACCGGGACATGTCTGTACTGCACTCTAATCAACCTCTCTTTTAAAGCCTCCCACATATCAAATGTGGATTTACCCTCAAACAGCTGCTCCCAATCCACATTCCCCAGCTCCTGCCGAATTTTGCTATAGTTGGCCTTCCCCCAATTCAGCACTCTTCCTTTAGGACTGCTCTCGTCTTTGTCCATTAGTATTCTAAAACGTACGGAATTGTGATCACTATTCCCAAAGTAATCCCCTACTGAAACTTAACCACCTGGCCGGGCTCATTCCCCAACATCAGGTCCAGTGTGGCCCCTTCCCGAGTTGGACTATTTACATACTGCTCTAGAAAACCCTCCTGGATGCTCCTTACAAATTCTGCTCCATCTAAACCCCTAACACTAAGTGAATCCCAGTCAGTGTTGGGAAAATTAAAATCTCCCATCACCACCACCCTGTTGCTCCTACATCTTTCCATAATCTGTCTACATATTTGTACCTCTCTCACGCTTGCTGTTGGGAGGCCTGTAGTACAGCCCCAACATTGTTACCGCACCCTTCCTATTTCTGAGCTCTGCCCATATTGCCTCACTGCTCGAGTCCTCCATAGTGCCCTCCTTCAGCACAGCTGTGATATCCTCTTTGAACAGTAATGCAACTCCTCCACCCCGTTTACCTCCCTCTCTATCCCGCCTGAAGCATCTATATCCTGGGATATTTAGTTGCCAATCTTGCCCTTCCCTCAACCAAGTCTCAGTAATAGCAATAACATCATATTCCCAGGTACTAATCCAAGCCCTAAGTTCATCTGCCTTACCTATTACACTTCTTGCATTTAAAATAAATGCACCACAGACCACCTGTCCCTTTGCGTTCATCATCTGCTCTCTGCCTCCTCTTCCCCTTAGTCACACTGACTTCATTATCTAGTTCCTTACAGGCTTTAGTTACTACCTTCTTACTGTCCACTAACCACCTCATTTGGTTCCCATCCCCCTGCCACATTAGTTTAAACCCTCCCCAACAGCGTTAACAAAAGCACCCCCTAGGACATTGGTTCCAGTCCTGCCCAGGTGTAGACCGTCTGATTTTTTGTAATAGCCCCACCTCCCCCAGAACTGGTCCCAATGTCCCAAAAATCTGAACCCTTCCCTCCTGCACCATCTGTCAAGCCACTCATTTATCCTGTCTATTCTTTCATTTCTACTCTGACTAGCACGTGGCACTGGTAGCAGTCCTGAGATTACTACCTCTGAGGTCCTACTTTTTAACTTGGCTCCTAACTCCCTAAATTCTGCTTGTAGGACCTCATCCCGTTTTTTACCTATATCATTGGTGCCTATATACACCACGACAGCTGGCTGTTCACCCTCCCCCTTCAGAATGTCCTGCAGTCGATCTGAGACATCCCTGACCCGTGCATCTGGGAAGCAACATACCATACGGGAGTTTCATTTTTGACCACAGAACCGCCTATCTACTCCCCTTACAATCGAATCCCCTATGACTATAGCCCTTGCAATCTTTTTCCCGCCCTTCTGTACAGCAGAGCCAGCCATGGTGCCATGAACCTGGCTACTGCTGCCTTCCCCTGGTGAGCCAACTCCCCCCTACAGTATCCAAAACGGTATACCTGTTTTGGAGGGAGATGACCGCAGGGGACACCTGCACTGCCTTTCTGCTTTTTTTTTCTGCCTTTTGGTCATCCATTCCCTTTCTCCCTCAGCAATCCTAATCTGCAGTGTGACTAATTTGCTGAACATGCTATCCATGACTTCCTCAGCATCGCGGATGCTCCAAAGTGAGTCCATCTGCAGCTCCAGAGCCATCATGCGGTCTAACAAGAGCTGCAGCTGGACACACTTCAGCACGTGTGTCCAGGGGAACATCAGTCGCGTCCCTGAGCTCCCACATTGAGCAAGAGGAGCATAACACAGGTCTGGGATCTTCTGCCATTTTTACTCTTAAGCTTAACTTAGTCCTACTATAATATCAAATGCTAGATAAATGAAATGAAAAAAAATTGTACCAAATCACTCTACTTACCAGCACACGATTTAAAAGAAAACAAAAAGAAAAACACTTACCTTATCAACACACCAGAGCTTTTTTTTTTTTTTTTTGGTCGGAGTAGGAGGACGGGTGGGAGACACTACACGTGTAGTGTCTCGGGTTCAGTCACTGCCCAAATATATCAGTTCACTCAACTTCCAAGAGCGCAATTCGACTGCTCCCACTCGGCTCCATTGCCAAAATGAAGAACTTGCCTCCCGACAGCCCCCAGTCCTCGCTTTCACTGCTAGGAGAATAAATAGAAGAAATGAACCAATGAGTAACCATCCCGTATTTAGTTGAGCTGAAACCGGTTCAGTGTGTGTTCTTCGCAGAATCCAGGGCCCAGTATGCTAATGTATGTAGTTCTAGTGTACACATCTGTGTTAGACTGCAAGTCCAAGTGTCAATTCTAAATTGCTTGTCGGTGTAATTCTTTGCACAGTCAAGATTACCTAACAAATGTCCAATTGCAGAATCACTGTTGGACAGCGTTGTGAGTTTTGCATCTGCGGGCTGGTTGTGGATAGTCAGCATCTAGCTTGTGAACAGCCAAACAGATAAGCTGTTTGGTGCGATCCGCCAATCTTTGGGATCTGCAGCTTACATATTTGGCATCTCTCGTGGACAAATTGAGATACCACATTATTCATTTTGTGATCACAGGTGCTGCCAGGCTGCTGAGCTTTTCCAGCAACTTCTGTTTTTGTTCCTGATTTACAGCATCCGCAGTTCTTACAGTTTTTAGAACCTCTTACCAGCTTTGCTGTAGCATCCTGTAAGTGGGAACACTCACTCATGTTGCAACTTCACACTAGCAGCATGAAACAACTAGCTTCACCTGTTGCTCAAGCTTTTTTGAGATCCATTTTCCTTCCAGGGTAATATGCAATAAAGGTGAGTAATTGAAGTTGAGATACAATAGACCATGATCTTGTAGAATGATGTAACATATTCAAGATGGCAGAATGCATACTCCTGTTCCTGATTCTCAGATGGTGAGAGAAGGTGTCTTTTTCAACTCGTGTTTTAATGGTCTTTCAGTACCCCCGCCAATGAACTAGCCTTCCTTAAGCTCTAAATGATTGAGTTGTTTCTAATGCTCCCAGCATTAATGGCTTAATCCTGGAGTGGTTCTCATTATCTGTGGCTTCCTATTGGTCATAATTTTTGACTCTTTTAGCACTTTGCCCTCCCACTTTCTACTTTTTGTAGTCATCTTATGGCTTCTAATCTGAGTAAAGATAGAGTTGATATTGAACCATCCAATTTCAGCTTGAATTTGCACATAGCATTTCCTAATGCTTGATTTCTGAACTACAGATAAGCAAACTGGATGATCTTTGGAAGATTCTTGCATTACTGGTAAAGCAAATTGAAATGTGGATGTGCATATTCCTTTGTAAATGTGAAAAATAAACCTTGAAGAGAGGTGGAACCTCTGTTGATATAATACAGCTAAGTGTATGTAATGCACTTCTGAGATTGTGTGAACTAACACGCATTTATGGTGTTAAAATTACAGACTGTCTTTTGATTTATTGTAGGATCTGGCCGCTATGTACCTGGCTCTGCACCATCGAACCTGGCTCCTTCTGCGGGAGGTGATCCTTTTACAGGTGGAGTTTGAGAATTACATGGGGAGAAATAAATCCATATTTTACTGGTCTGTAATGCTGCATTTCCTCCACAATTCATTGAACATTTACTGTAATCTGGATGGTTTGCTATTTTTAAAATAAAGAACTAGTTCCTACATCAGTTTATACATGCCAGAAACTACAGAGAAAAGGGATTAATTGATTGCACTTCTAAGTTCAGACTATACAGTATTGCACTTCTGTATTTGTTCTGATATGTCTTTCAATTTCAAAGAGCTGGAGGTTTTTAAAGGAATGTTCTTCACTTTGTGACAGATAAACCCACCTCAAATTAGAAATCTAATATCTGTTGATAGTAATAGTTCTGAGATCATGAAAATTAGTTTTTTGCAAACTGTCGTTGATATATCAATGACAATTATTAGGAAGATTTGGACTCTACTACTGTAAGGATTGTTCCGAGACCAAAGTGTGACTAAGTATCCATAATTGAGTAAAATAATTCTGTTCAAATGAAAACTTCTACATTGAGGTATTATCTTGTTCACAGGAAGAAATGCCTATGTTTCTACTGATGGACATGCAGGTACTATACCCATCAGCAATCCTTACTTTCCAAAAAAAGACCCTGTAACATTTGATCAGGCAAATATAACCCAGATAATAGGTAAGTATTGTCAGTCTGTTCTTCTAATAATTTTTGGTTTTTTTAACACATTATTAAAATAATATGGTTAAATTACAACAGTATGATGCATCTTTTCATTTGGCTACTGTGGCAATACAATGGCTTTAAGAGGTATATTTGTTTTCTTTTGGGGAGGTTTTGAGCCATAGGTGCTAAATTGTCTGTTCCAAGTCAATAAACAGCTTGTGAGACCTTGGACTTTTATTTCAAGTTGGAATAATAGAAGCATCATGAATGGATGGAGTCAGGCTCCCACAGAACCAGGGCTTTAGTTTAGCTTTTAGTAGTTGTTAGGGTTGATGTTTGGCTGTGGAAGCTCGCTCGCTCCTTCTCGCTTGCTCGCTCCCTCTCTCCCAGCTACAGCTAAAAAGCTCGGGTTCTCTCTGTCCGCCAGAATTCCATGTGAAAGAATCTATTTTACTGAATTGCCTTTGCCAAGGGTGTGTTTTATGGGATGTTACTATATTGGAACAGTTTCTATTTAATAGTTAAATAATCTCTATTATTCTGTTAGGTTTTCCTGTAGAGTTAAAGTTATACCAATGCTTCTTTCTTTTGTTTGTATTTTAACTGTAGGGTAATAATAAAGTGTATTTTCCTTTAAAGCTGATCTGTGTAACCATTCAAATTACATCTGAAATGCAGCACCTTACACTTAACTTTCATCTTATTTAAGAGACAAGGTCTAGACTATTTTGTTGATATATTTGCAGGGGGTTTGGTCTGGTCCGTAACATCACACAGAATGAGTTCTCTAAGGCTTATTTTGAAAACATTATATAAATCATTGAAAGAAACAACTGTATTGCAGGGAAGCTAAAGGAGCTGAATGGGAGTACATCTGCTGAACAGAAACTATCTGAAAGTGACCTACAAATGCTTGAGAAGTTTCTTTCCATTGTTTCTACTCCTGCACTAGAAGCTCCAACAGCACAACAATTGGAGATTTTATGGAAAGCTGCTCAGTGGCCTGAAGGTGGTAATTGACAATATTCATTTTTGAAATTGTCTACAGTTATTAAAATGATCGCACTAATCAAATAAAAGAAAAAAAAGACTAATCTCCATATTAATAGTGTTGTTGAATATTGCCATTGCCATAACTGAAAGTCTTTTAAGTAAATATCTTGTATGCAGTAGAAATATGTACTAATTGATATTACAATTCAGTACTTCATGTTTTTTTCCAAAAGTATTGCCAAATTGCCTCAATGTATTACAGTACTTGAACTGATGGCGCCTTTGTTTAGATTTGCTGGTCAGCTTGTATTTTTTGATTTTGTTTCATGAAACGTGGCAGTTTTTGGGTATGTCGGTATTTATTGCCTGTCCCTAATTACTGTTGAAGGTATTGAACTAAAGGCAGGTAGTCACTGTGCAGGTAGCCCCAGAATTCGGGTTTGCTTGCTGGCTCTGAGAGAAAGTTGGGGGGAGGTGGGTGGGCAATCTGGTAATCTCTGAGATTCTGTGCTGCAGAGAGCCACATATCCTGTTTAACCACCTTCCCATGATCCCTAGCCCACCCTCAATCACCTCACCTATGGTCTGCATGCTTTGCTGACCCTGGGCACCCAAGAGTGCATTGCCAGCAGCTACCACAACTCTCAATGGCAATTACAGTACCAGTGTGGTTTGTCAGCAGTTGTGGCAGGGAGGATTCCTGACCCTGGGATCTGCAGCCAGCCACTTGATACAATGGGCCATCCCCAAAAGAGGCCTATGTACTCATTCTAGTTATCCATCTCGTGAATGAGACTTTATCACCTGGATTAAATTCTACCCAGTACAAACTGAGCTAATTTTCAAGCCATCGCAACAAGTTTACATTTTACGGATATCAGTGGGTTTAAGAATTGCTGCTTCCATAATTTTGCATCCTAAAGAGGAGTGCTCTGGGCAAGCTTTTCTTGTCGGCATATTTGAACTTGATAGAAGGGTGTTTCTCCTCACAATTACTATGACCCGAATTGGACTGTTCTCGCCACTGCAATCCATTTGATTAAAATCCAGGCTAGAGTCTATTTATTATCTGAGAAGCTGTAGTCTATATCTATGTTGGGTGAAAGTTAATTCAAAATTACCGCTAAAGTCTTGTCCTTTCTAGACTTGGTGTATAAACATTTTCAAAGTGACATGTGGCAAGATTTGGCATCATAAAGCTGTGCAGTGGGTCATGTATTTTAATGTGAATGTATGAATAGCAGAGAAAAGAGTTGCTTTGTGGATTTCATTTGCTTTGATGACCCATTTCTTTTAAAACAAAAAAAATGTCATACTACAGTCCAGGAAACACTTTCTTCAGCAGTGTTAAGAAGTTGATAAGATTTCATGAAACTTAAATTCACACAATCATTCAGATACTCTGTTAGCATTGTATTTTCAATATATGGTATTGACAGTGCTGTAATAAATTTTAACGTGTTTAAATCTTTTCCTGAACTAGATATTGTGTTTCCTGTGCTGGATATTCTTCGTCTAGCTATGAGACACCCAGCAGTAAATGAACATTTCTGCAGTGGAAACTATAGTACACAATTCAGCAACTACCTCTTAAACAAAATTAACCTGCAGGGAAAACCAGCAAATCAAATGCTCATCCTCCGAACAGTCTGCAATTGTTTTTCTAGCCAATCGTATGGTTCAAAGCTCATGATGTCCTTGAGAGAGACAATACTTTCCCAAGCAATAGAAATGAAAGCAACTAGCAACAAGAATGTTCACATAGCACTGTCCACTTTAATATTAAACTATGCAGTAAATCTGCATACAGGAAGTGATATTGAAGGTAAAGCAAATTGTTTATCCACTATTAGTGCAGCCATGGAAGCCCTCCAAGACTATGAAGCCATTTTCAGACTTCTGGTGGCTCTTGGGACAATTATTAGTGACGATCCTAATGCCTTGCAGCTGGCTCAATCATTGGGAGTTGATTCACAGATCCGAAAGTATTCTTCCGTGTCAGATCCAGTTAAAGTTGGTGACTGCTGTAGATTTGTTTTGAAGATGCTGTGATTACCGATTGTAGATTTTCTCGGGTTACAGCTAAGTGGTATTAATTTTAATTACTTTTGTTCTGTAAACTCTAACAGATGAATCAAATGGTAGGTGAAGAAATGCTGGAAAGTTTGATTTTTGTGGTGGAACTATCACAGTAAAAGTCCTACATATAAATAAAATATTAAGAATAAATGATTTTCCAAAATGTGACTGTTTTGTATGTTTTATTTGCATTACTTGAGAGGTTTCCAGTAAAGTAAAACAGTTGACTTATCATTTTATGTATAAAAGTGTACTTGGAAACATTCAAATTTCTCTTGACAGTTATTTTTACTGGCTATTGAATAATAATTCCCAAACTAATTTGATCTTTTTTAGGCACAGACAATTGCAGGACTTCTGCACAATGCCACAATGTTCTTTGTCATCCAATTCAGTTGCTTTTACATAGAATGTTTAGTGTGAACATTATGTCTTTAAATCTTTCATTTTGGAGAGACCATTTCACCTGTTTTTTCTCAGCCATTCTGTTATTTGGATAATGGATTTGCCAGATAAGAGTTCAAAATTGTAATTTGAATTTGGAGTATGAAAAAGCAGGGAGGCTTTGCTAAAACTGTACAATGCATTGGCCAATCCACACTTGGAATACTTAATAGTTTGGTCCCCTTAAATGGGGAAAGCTACACTGCCTCCAATGCTAGTATATAGAAAGTTCATTAGGTGGATTTCTCATAGGGAAAGAATCATAGTATAGAATCCTGACAGTGTGGAAGCAGGCCGTTCAGCTCATTGAGTCCACGTGACCCTTTGAACAGCATCCTACCCAGACCCCCACTCCCTTACCCTATCACTGTAACCCTGTATTTCCCATGGCCAATCCACCTAGCCTGCACATCTTTGGACTGTGGGTAGAAACTGGAGCACCTGGAGGAATGGTTGAGTTGATTGGGTATGGACTCATTGGAGTTCAGAAGAATGAAGGGAAATCTCTTTTATTTTTAAAAATGTTTCTTAGTGGCCTTGACAGGATACATGTGGACAGGTTGTTCATCCAGGTGGGGAAGTCTAGTATAGGGACACAATCTCAGAGTAAAGTGTCACTCATTTAAGACCAGAATGAGGAGGAATTTCTTATGAGGGTAGTTAAACTGACAAATTACTTACCACATGCAGATATAGAGGCTGTGATTGGATTAGAATATTATCCAGAACTGGCAATGGACGCAGTGTAGCAAATGGATTCTGCAAAGTATTCTTGGTCTAGTTGTAAGTTGTACGGTACTAAAACAAATTTAACAATGCTGCCATCTGGCCGCTTAAAATAAATCTTATAATTAGCAGCTTTGGCTTTCGGTATGCAGATCTACTTGTAGTGATCAAGTAGTCAAATTTGAGTTTGACCACATACAGAAACAGCAACTGAAATAAAGACTGTGTATTTTAAATATTGAAAAGTGACAAAACAGCCTGGACCATAATGTAGAAATTCCTGGATCTTGTAATTTCTCACATATTTGTTAGTACAAGCAGCACTGTCTTCACAAGTCTCCAAGCGTTTGATTGACTTATTTTAGTGGCTTTTATACCTGGATATTGAAGGGGTCAGTTTCTCAATGGTTTCCTCCTGGCTGTGTGGCCAGTGTGCTGATTGTTTATCCTGGCACAGGTAATGATGAGCTTCTAGATTGTTTCTTCCTTGTCACAGAGAAAAGGTGAACTGCCAGATTGTTTCCTCCTGGACACTGGATCAGTTTCTAGATTGTCATCTCCTAGATATGGGATTAATTTCCATCTCCTGGACGTTGGAAAAATCAGTTTCTGGGTTGTTTCCTGCCAACAGTGGATCAGTTTCCAGATTGTGTCCATCTGGCCATGAGGAAATCTGTTTCCAGATTGTCTCCCCTTGATGTGAGATCAGTTTCCAGATTGTCTTCCCCCTTGACCTGGAATCAAAAGATGTGAAGGTCAGGCAGCATCCGAGAAGCAGGAAAGTCAACCTTTATGGCTGAAACCCTTCATGAGGCCTGGGGAGGGGAGCCTAGAAGTAAAGGGTGGGGTTCAGACTAGGGCAAGGGTAGGTGGTTTGGTTATAAGCGGATGCAGGTAGGGTGTTATTGTGATTGGTCAGTGGGAAGGCTGGAGCGGATACGTGAATAGGAAGATGGACCGGTTAGGTCAGGGAAGTAAGGGGGAGGGAGGGGGCTGGACATGGGGTAAAGTTGAGGGTGGAGGGATTTTTGAAGCTGGTGAAGTCAACATTGAGGCCACAGGACTGTAAGCTCCCAAGGTGCAATATCAATTATTGTTCCTCCAGTTTACATTTGGCCTCACTCTGACAGTGGAGGAGCCAAGGATGGACAGGGGAGTGGAGGGGGAATTAAAATGGATGGCAACTGGAAGGTTGGGTTGGTTGACGTGTGCAGAGCGCAGATGCTCCATGAGCCAGTCCCCAAGTCTGCGTTTGGGATCGGGAGCAACAGATACAAGAGATCAGGTTAGATCAAATGCAAGTGAATCTCTGCAGGATTTGGAAAGATTGTTTAGGGCCTTGGATGAAGGTGGCAGGGGAGATGGAGGCCACGGAATTGAAACTTTTGGAGTGATCAAGTGACCAGATTGTCCTCTCCTGGACATAGGGCAGCGGTCGGTTTGTGCCAGACCCTGATAGGCTGCCCCTGGCCACAGGCTCAGTCTCTGATTGGCTACTCGCCGACACCGTTTCATTTTCCAATTGGATGCCCCCGGACACAGGCTCAGTCTCTGATTGGCTACTCCCCGACACCGTTTCATTCTCCAATTGGATGCCCCTGGACACAGGCTCAGTCTCTGATTGGCTACTCCCCGACACAGTCTCAGTCTCCGATTGGATGCCCCCGGACACAGGAGCGGGCTCTGAATGGATGGCTACCCACCACCCCCACCAAAGACAGAGGGTCACTCCCTGATTGGATGCCGCCGGACACAGGACCGGTTCTCTGATTGGCTCCTCCCGCACGCCGGGCGGGGGCGGGGTTTTGGGTGGAAGCCGGTGGGCGGGGCGGACGGGCTGAATTTCCGCTATGGCGGGTAAGAAGTCGGTGAAGGAGAAGAAGCGCAAGCGGAGCCGCGGGGAGGAGAGTCACGGCGAGCGGAGATGGCCCAGCAGCGAGGCCGGCACCAATGAGGTGGGGTCCCGGGGAGAAGGGGCAGCGGGGCCTGAGTCGGGCCCACTCTGAGACCTTTGACCTGCAGGGCCCACCCACTGTGGGTCCCTACCATTCAAGGGGGAAAATATTAAACCGTCATTTAACTGTCAGGTGGACGGATTTACTGCTTCAAAACTAAAAGCTGCATGTAATTACCCACCGTTATCATTCTGTGCCAGCTCAAACAATAACAAATATATAACAAGTGGTTAGCAGAACCAACAATATAATTGTTTATTAGGAAGGTTATGCTTCAGGTATACAGTGCATTAGAGAGCAGCTCTGTTCAGTTGTTTATAGCTTTTACTGTACTACCTGCTCGTTAACGTTTTCTTTTTCTCCCCTATTCTGGCACACTTTTTTTTTGGAACTTTTTTCTGTTAAATCTCGGTTAATGGATTTGACGGAGTTCAAAACTTTAATCCTGCGCGTGGAATACAGCATTATACCAGTTTTGCCGTGAAGACAAGTTAACTAAGTGGATTTTCCATCTCTGTAAATCTGGTCTGCAGTTGTTTTTTTTTTGTTCCAAATTAATTTAAAACGACGGATTGAGAACCACCCCCTTGATCACTCGTACAGGGGACGCCTGACACTTGTATTCACAAATCCACTTCCTTACAGAGATAGTAGGAACTGCAGATGCTGGAGAATCCGAGACAACAAGGTGCAGAGCTGGATGAACACAGCAGGCTAAGCAGCATCATAGGAGCAGAAAGATAGCTGATTTTCATAGATCCGACATACAAATATTTCCTTTTGGAGCCCTACAGGATAGAAACAAACCCTTCGATCCAACCAGCCCATGTCAACCATAATTCCAAACTAAACTAGTCCCACCTGCCTGTGCTTGGCCCATAACTATACAATTCTGATGGGGAGTCATCTTAGACTCGAAATGTTAGCTTGCTGTCTCTCCATGGATGTTGCCTGACCACCGATCTCCAGCAATTTTTTTTTTGTCTTCAGTTCAGATTCCAGCATCTGCAGTAATTTGCTCCTCCATCAAAACCTTTCCCACTCATGAACTTAGCCAAATGTATTTTAAACGTTGTAACTGTACCTACAGCCAACAATTCCTCTGGAAGTTCATTCCACACACAAATCACTGACTGTTTTAAAAAAAAAAGTTCTTTCATGTTGTTTTTAAATCTTTTTCCTCTCACCTTAAAAAATATGCCTCCTAGTCTTGAAATTCCCCACCCCAAGGAAAAGGCACCTGCTATCGTCTTATCTATAATCCTCGTGATTTTATAAACCTCTGTATTTTTACCCTTATACATTTATGTCCTTCTCTGAACTACAAGCGGAGGCTAGAAAAACTCAAATAGTTTTCACTGGAGCGGTGGAGTCTGAGGGGAGGCTTGAAAGAAGTTTAAAAAATTATGAGGTGCATAAGTAGGGTTGACGGTCAGAATCTTTTTCCCAGAGTTGAAATATCTAAAACTAGGGGGTATGCATTTAAGGTTAGAGGGGGAACAGTTTTTTTACACAGTGGTAGGAGTTTGGAAGGCCCTACCAGGGGTATTGCTGGAGGCAGATATGATAGGGATGCTTAAGAGACTTTTACATAAGCACGTGGATATGCAAAGAATACCAGAATATGGACCAAGGTCAGGCAGAAGGGATCAGCTTAATTTGGCTTCAGGTTTGGCACAGCGTTGTGGGCCGAAGGGCCTGTTCCTGTGCTGTACAGTTTTATGTTCTTAAAAGGTCACCCGTCAACCTCCAATGCTCCTTTGAAAAAGACCCAGATTCCTTTTACAAGTCAAACCCTCCATTCCTGGCAACAACCTGGTAAATTTTTCTGAACTATCTGCAGCATAATAATATCCTTCCTATCGCAGGGCGACCAGAACTGCGCACAATACTCCAGAAGAGGCCTCACCAACGTCCAGTACAACCTTACCATTTCATCCCAACTCCTGTAGTCAAAGGACTGAGCAATGCAGGCAAGCGTGCTAAGTGCCTTTGTAACTACCGGATCTACATGTGATACAAACTTCAAAGAATAATGTACCTGAACCCCTAGGTCTCTCTATTCGACAATATTACTGAAAGCCTGCCTTTTAATTGTATAAGTCCTGCCCTTGTTTTACCAAAATGCAATACTTACGAATGGCTATTTTAAATTGTCCTGCAATATGTTCTGACTTGTGTACAAACCAACTTGCCAATAGACTGTAGAATGTAATCTGCTCACATACCAGGGACTGCCTCTCAAGGTTGCAGGTAAACTTTCTACCCACGGTGTTGTACAAGCAGTCCCCAGAACTGCAAATAGGTTCTGGCCTGGAGTCTGTTAATGGGTTGATTTGTAGGCAAGTTGGGACACAGTGCAGGGCACTCTATAGGCGTCATTTGTAAGTACAGGAAAATTTGTCAGATTGTTAAAATTACACCCTTGTATGAGATCATGATCATAAATATGAGCGTTCATAAATCAGTGATCCCCTGTAGAGTAAATGGGAGGTTCAAATGCCTTAAAGTTCAGAAAGTCATTTGGCTTTATCATTTACTTGACTAAGGTTAAATTTGCTTTATAAAAAGGAGTAATTTAAAGCTTTGACATTCATATCTAAGTTTTCTATTTGCATGTCCATATCCATAATGTTTGGAGTCTTTTTCTTAACGTTTCTAGTTCTCTTTTGTGTGTGCATAATGTTTTTGCTGTTGAAATTCTGTAACAGTTTTATGTCCTTGAAGTCAGGAAGAATTGCTTCAGAAAGAGAGATGACCAATGAGACCAGCGACTTGGAGGAAGGGGGCCTTGACCTTAGTGTTGCCTTGAAGCCAATCAGTTGCTATATCTCTGACAGGAAAGAAATGTTAGAGCAATGCTTCAGAGTCATAGGGGAGAGAAAACTTCAGAAAATGCTCCCTGATATTTTAAAGGTACTATGTAACAATAATGGATCACTTAATATGTCATTGTATGGTCTATAACACAATTTTTAAAAAATTCTGGTTGAGCAAAACTTGATGTTTTCTGCAAAGGTGTAAATGAAAAAAGGGCTTTTTATGTCCAAGCAGCTGCTTTGATTTTTGAAAATGTATGTGATGTGTATCATGATCCATTTAATCTTATTTTAATTTCTACCTCAATTTATAGATTACATTTTAACATCTTAATTTTAGTAATATGACTTGATAATCTAGTTGAAATAATGGATCTGGAAAGATACATATAGAAATAGACTGGGAAGACCGGAAACTGGGATACTGAACTATCCTGGAATCAATTTTCAACAATGTTAGTTGATCTATCAAGTTGTTCAAAACTTGGAAAAGTAAATGGAATACAAGTCAACTGGATTTGCCCATAAAGTGACCTTGAAGCTAGACCAGTTGCCGACTGCTCCAGCTTGGCCAGAACTTTCTTTTCACATTCAGTGGATTTTTGCCTCAAAGTGGTTTCTCTTATTAGCAATGCCCAAATTATTATATTACCTTCTTTGTAATTATTAGTAACTGCAGTTTATTGGCTGTTGCCTGGATTATGTGGTGGGATTATTTCTTGCAATAATTGTGCCTGTCTCCAGCAGAACTGCTCTGTAGAAGAAATTAAAGCTCTCTGTTTGGAGCAACTGACACTTTTGTCTGATAAGAAACTTCTCCAAATTATTGAAGGTAAGCAGTCTTTCTGCTTTTCCAGTGGAAAAGGACATACCATTTGGCAGAAAATAATTTGCAGTGATGATCAGCAATTTGTATCGTCCACAACAATGTGGACTCACCACTTACCTGTTCTTGTAGTGATTGCATTTTAGAGGCTAGGAATATGCAGCGAGTAACTCACCTCCTGGCTCCCTAAATCCTGTCTGTCATTTACAAGGCACAAGACAGGAATATGATGAAATACTCCCCACTTGCCTGGATGAGTGCAGCTCCAATAACACTCAAAAGGCTTGACACCATCCAGGACAAAGCAGCCTGCTTGATTGGCACTATGTCCACAGCATCCTCTCCCTTCACCACTGATACTCAGAAGCAGCAATGTGTACTATCTATAAGATGCACTGCAGAAATTCACCAAAGATCCTCAGACAGCACCTTCCAAACCCATGACCACTTCCATTTAGAAGGGCAAAGGCAGTGATACATGAGAACACCACCACCTTCAAGTTCGCCTCCAAACCGCCGTCCTGAATTGGAAATACATCACTGTTCCTTTACTGTTGCTTAATGAAAATCCTGGAATTCCCTCTCTAATGGAATATGGGTCAACTCACAGCAGGTGGACTGCAGTGGTTCCAGAAGGCAGCTCACCACCACCTTCTCAAGTGCAACAAGGGACGGGCAATAAATGCTGGCCCAGGCAGCAACACCCATCTCTCATTTTTAAGAAAAATTGTATATTGTACAACTCTGTATGTTAGCCCTTATTACAAGATTAAATGTAGGAAGCCTTGCTTTCACTGTATAGGAACTGGTGAGACCATACTAGCACAGTATTCAGCTTTTATTCCTTAATTGAGAGATATGCTAGCATTGGAAGCAGTTCAGGGAATGTTCATCTGGAGATGAAAGAGTTTGTCTTATGAGGAAGGATTAAGCATGTTATTCCTAAATTCATGAGATGTAAATAACTATGGGAAGAAACATTCTAAGAATGAAAAGCATATAGAAAACAAAGAATGCTAAGTGTTGCAAAAGAGTAGGAGAGCATATTTCCTAAGATAGTAGCTGCACATAGGATCTTTGGTGAGACTTACAAATAAGATTACATGAATCAGTAAGAGGGAGTACGCTGGTTTCCCGTCCTTGATCAAAGATTAGTAATGGAAATCATGATGGCAGAGAAGGGAGGAGAACAAAATAGACTGACCGTGTTACATAAAATACAGAGTGGATCGGTGAGAATTGACAGAAACCGGTATCCAGTGCTCTCTGCAAAGTCGAAACATAAGGTAGCCATCCACAGAAACTACAAAGATCGTTTGTTTTGAGATGGTGCATCTACTTGCTTTCTTCCAAAGACATTTCCACAGAAGTACAATCCCTCATTGGAACAGGCTGTCAAAGGAAATAGTCACAGCCCCATCTTTTGAAATCTTCAAGACCCATCACTAGATTATTTCAGTGAAAACTTAGATGATCAAGACTGTCCATCCTCAGCAAGTCGTGACTGGTTTAACGAATTTCATTGTTGGCAGAATGGGATATTAGTCAATGCTGTGATGCAGCTGAAGCAGATTGTGTCCTGTTTTCAAGTTGAATTTAAGCAAAAGAAGCAGTCAGGCTGCTTTGACAGCTTATATCCTCAAAACCACCATGTAAAGTTAACATCTCAATATCAAAATAAATTGAGAGATTAAACTGTGCCATGTGCATCTGTTGATAAGTCACCTTTCACTGTAAAGGGAGATGTTGCATTTTAACGTTAATTTTGCTTGTTACACTTTAACTGACAAATGTAATTAACTGTACACATTCAGGGTATGAGCTATATTTTTCTTCATAGCAATGTGGTATTCCAACACAGCCACAGTGTAGAAAGAATATGAATGCCATGGAGGGAATATATAGATTCATCTGGCTGATACCTTAGAGTTGAACTAATGTGTGGGAGGGCTTGTGTTTTGGGGATTATTTCCATATAATATTTGAAATGCTAGCGTCGTTTTGACCTTCTTAAAAAAAAAAAAAAGAAGTTGACCATAAAGCCTTTATGGGAACCATCATGACGATTGAAATGACTTGACAAAGAATGAAAGATGTTGACATGACAGAAATATAATACTTGATCTAAACTTGCTGGAGCTGTAGAAGATTTTAGTGAGGCCACATTTAAAGTATTTGTGCAGTTGTGGTCACCACACTATAGAGCGATGTGGAAGCTTTGGAGAGATTGCAAAAGAGGTTTACCAGAATGTTCCCTGCATTGGGGTGTATTAGCGAAAAGGAGAAGTTGGACAAGCTTGAATTGTTTTCTGTAGAGTGTTGGAGGCTGAGCGGCCGACTTGATAGAAGTATATAAAATTATGAGAGACATAGATAGGTTGGATTGTCGAAGTCATTTTCCCAGGGTGGTAATGTCAAATACTAGGGGCATAGGTTTAAGATGAGAGGAGAAAAGTTTAAAGGGGATGTGCGAGGAAAGTTTTTTTTTGCACAGAGGCTGGTAGGTGCCTGGAACTCACTGCCAGGGGTAGTCATAGAAGCAGATATGTTAGCAAAGTTGAAGAGCCATTTAGACAGACACTTGAACAAGCAGGTAATGGAAGGGATATGGACCATGTGCAGGCAGATTGGATTAGTTTAGAATGGCATCATAGTCAGCACAGACATGGTGGGCCGAAGGGCTTGTTCCTATACTGTACTGTTCTATGTTCTAACTTTGAATGAATTAATACATGATTCATATTATACTAATATTAAATCTGTGATCTCTATATGCTTTGTCTTTGGATAAGGATGATTAAATCTGACAACAGAAATTTTATATTTATAAATTCAAATTTCAAATATTCCAACAAGCTGCAGGTTCTGAAACATACGTTGCAATATTTAAAACAATATTTTTATTCCAGGTGACGACCTTGGTTCATCTGATACTGAAGAGGAAGTGGGAGAAAATGATAGGTACAAGAAGAAATTGGAAACAGAAAGTCAGTAAGTAGGAGTTCTGAAGTTTTCAGTATTCTAGCTTTGGTTCTTGAAGGTGCTGCAGCTAACAAAAAAGTTATCCCTTGATTTATTTTTCTGTGAAACAGTTAATGTCATGTATTTAGATATAATTCAAATAAATTTATATAAGTGAATTTACAATGTTCCCTGTCAAGTCCCTTCTAAATCTTGTACATATCAATGAGATGAGATCTGGGCACCACACCTTACAAAGGATATGTTGGCCTTGGAGGGAGTACAACGTAGGTTTAAAAGGATGATACCTGGACTTCAGGGGATAAGTTATGAGGATTGATTACACAAATTAGACTTATTTTCTCTAGAATTTAGAAGGTTCGGGGTGATCTGATCAAAAGGACCTGGGCGGCACAATAGGAACAGCATTTCATATTTCGCTTGGGAACCCTGCAGCCCAATGGTATCAATGTGGGCTTCACAAGCTTCAAAATCTCCCCACCCGCAACCTCATCCCAAAACCAGCCCAGCTCGTCCCCGCTTCCTTTACCTGTCCGTTTTTTCTCCTACCTAAACGCTCCTCCCACCTCAACCCCTGCCCCCACCTCCTACCTACCAGCCTCATCCCCGCCTCCTTGACCTGTCCATCTTCCCTTGACTGACGAACCCCCATCCTAACTCCCCACCTACACTCCCCTTTACTGGTTACATCCCCACCTCCTTGACCTGTCCGTCTTCTCTCCACCTATCTGCTCCTTTTTCCATCTTCCATCCACCTCCCCCCTCTCTCTATTTATTTCAGAGTCCCCTTCCCCTCCCCCATTTCTGAAGAAGGGTCCAGACCTGAAACATCAGCTTTCCTGCTCCTCTGATGCTGCTTGGCCTGCTGTGTTCATCCAGCTCCACACCTTGTTATCTCAGATTCTCCAGCATCGGCAGCTCCTACTATCTCTGGCTCAGTGGTTAGCACTGCTGTCTCACAGCGACAGGCACCAAGAGCTGAAGCTGTTTGGAGGGATTGCGTGGACTCAATGGGCCAAATGCCTGCTTCCACACTGTAGGGATTCCATGATATTAACAGGAGAGGACAGCGTAGACCAACTATTTCCACCGGTTGGAGTTTCTAGACCTCGGGGCAGTAAAACTGGGAATTAGGGCTAGACTATTCGGGAGGGATGTTTGGAAGCACTTCTACATACAAAGTTGATATTTGGAACAGTGTCCCACAACAGTGGATGCTGGATCAGATGTTAATTTTAAATTTGAGGAACATAAATTTTTGGTAAGCAAAGGTGTTAAGGGACATGTGCCAAATATAGGTGTATGGAATTAGGCCAAAGATCAGCCATTATGTGATTGAATAGTGGAACAGGCTCAAAGGGCTGAATGGCCGGCTCCTGTTCTAATGTAGATCATCTTTTATTCTTTTAAGTCCCTTGAATATGGGCCCAGTGTTATGATGCAACTTGACAAGCCAAAAGGAGACTCGGGTACAAGTTAGACACAAGGAGCCAGCCTTACGCAATCAGATAGTGCTGTGAAATGTTAGCACGTATACGTGCAGCTAACTGATGTCACAGCTCAAAATCACATGTTAAATTGGTGGTCTGGCTTCATCAGTTTGTTCTGGCAATTCATACATAAGACATTTTCTTTTATCCATCTGAGGTCCCTCCCTCAACCTGCTGATTTTTTAAATTTATTTTTATTCATTCATGGGATGTGGGCCTCTTTGGCTAGACCAGCATTTATTTCCCGTCCCTAACAGCCCATAGGGTAGTTAAGAGTCAACCATATTGCTGTGGGCATAGAGTCACATGTAGGCCAGACCAGGTAAGGATGGCAAATTTCCTTTCTTAAAGGACATTAGTGAGCCAGATGGGTTTTTCCAACAATCGATGATGGCTTCATTGTCATCATTAGACTTTTAATTCCTTTTTTTATTGAATTCACATTTCACCATCTTCCATGGTGGTATTTGAACTCAGGTCTCCAGAATGTTGCCTCAAATCCTGGATTAATAGTCTACTAATGGTACGACTAGGCCGTTGCCTCTCCCTAGATTGTGCCTCCTAGGCTGTGTCCCTATTTCTATTATGCTCGAGTTGGCTTTAGAAAAACAGATTTTTCCTTTTACAAATGTGAATAACTGCACACTTACCCACATTGTGCTCTGTCTGCCACCTCAGTTATTCTGTGTTTCCTTTACTTGTCTGTATCTCTTTGTCCTCTTCAAAGCTTTGCCTTTCCAGCCAGCTTGCTATCGTCAACATGCTTCAATGCATTATTGTCTATTTCTTCATATCATTAGCATAAATTGCGGTTTGGATATATGAGAGTAGTTTTTCATACTTCATTAATTCTGAGGCGCAAGTCGTCAGTGCCATTAACAATATGTTGCCAGGGGCCTTTGTAGTAACCAATACCTTCAGCTATTTTTTTTGATATCAAATTGAACATTTTAATGCTGTTTGAATTTGCCGAACAAGCTACTCAGTTGTATACAACTGCTTCAAAGTCTGATGGAGAGAATGAAACCAGACAGACCATCCAGCATCAAACAAGAAACTGGAAATGACAACGGTACACCCAGCCCTGTCAACTCTGCCAAATCCTCCTTACTACCATCTTGCAGGCTTGTACCAAAATTGGGAAAGCTGTCCTACTGACTTGTCGTGCAAAAGCCTGAAATAATCATTCATAAGGAATCATACCTTGCAATTTCCCAGATACCACCATCTTCCCTATCTCACTGACCAGACAGGCCCCCAGAGGAAAGAGTCCTCAACACAGGCTCTGGAGTCCATAAAGTCTCATGGTATCAGGTTAAACGTGGTAAGGAAACCCTTTGCAGATTGTCACATAGCCGCACCTGAGCTGTTGAGTCTCTTCCTCTCTTTGTTGAACATCCATTGAAGATGCACTGAGATTGGCAAGGGCATAAGTTACTCTGGGTGGGGTACTTCAATATCCATTACCTCTACTGACTGAGTGCTAAAAACCTCTCTGCTGGACCTGTAGCAAATAATAAGGGAACAAATGAGGAAAAAGGTACGTGATGTCACCCTTGCCAAAAACCAGTAGCAGATGTATCTGTCTAAGAAAATATTGTTAGGAATACCCACCGTACAGTCCTTGGGGAGATGAAGTCCAGACTTCACATTGAGGATACCCTCCGTTGTGTTGTATGACACCACTATTGTTCTGAATGGGATTGATTCCAAACAGTTCGAGCACGTCGGAGACTCTGCATCCATGATAGACCGTGGCCAAGCAGCAGCAGAATTGTATTCAACCACGGTCTGCAACCTTATGACCTGGTGTATCCCCAGGCCAAGTCAGGGTAGCAAGTCTGGTTGAATGAAGACTGCAAGAGGGAATGCATAGATGTGCATCAAGCATATCTAAAAATGATCTGTCAACCTGGTGAAGCTACAACTCAATTTGTGTGTGCGTGCCAAGCAGCATACTCAGCACATGATAGAATGAGGTGCTGTCACAGCCAAAGGTTCAGATCTGTAATTCTGCCACATTCAGTTGTGTACAATAGTAGACAGTTAAACACCTTGCTTGAAGAGGAAGCTGCACAAATATCCCAATCCTAGATGATGGGGGAGTCCAAAACATTACTGCAAAGATAAGGCTGAAGCATTTGCAAGCAGCATCAGGCAGGAGTGCTGGGTGGACCATTTGGTTCGATGCCATAAGGAGAAAACTAGGATGTGTGTCAGAGAATGGCTTTTACTTCTGTAATGTTCTGTAAATGTTGGAATTTTAGCTGATTGTTCCCAAAAATTCTGGATTTTTTTTTTTTTTTGCAAATACAATGGTAAATGTAGACAAATATTAGATCTTAAACCTTTTGTAAAATTGCATTTGATTAGGTTAGAAATCCCCATGTGAAACACATTATTGTGCCTGTTCAAAATACTCACTTTGCTGTCTTTTTCATGATCATGGATCGGTGTTATTTAAGATACTATTTTGCCATTACAAATTCCTATGTTCAAATGTTTAATATAAACAGTATAATTGCAAGATGACCTCCTTTCAGTTCACATGCACCCATATACATTGATGTTTCTTTTGTGATTTTCCATTATTGTTCTTTATTTGTGAAGATTAAGCGAGTCTTTCCACAGACTCTTGTCATTGATGCATTTGATTTGTCAGCAAGGAGTTGCAATTTAGTAATTCAAGTGATTTTTAGCTGTCAGCTTTTTTGCTTTTGCTTTGGAAAAAAGACATTGCTTTGCAGAGCCAGAATCAGATGCTCGTGGTGTTGGGAATCATGAATTATTTCACTTCAAAGCACTTGGGCATGCTAGCACATTACTGTTTTTACTTAGTTTTTAAACTTGACATTCTTGACTGTTTTAGAGGGATAAAACACTTTGCTGTATTTAGTTTTTAATTATGGTGTGTTTTAAAAAGAACTGCTAGACTTGTTGGATCAAGATAGACTGAAGTATTCAGCCTGGTGTTTACTACCCTGTCTAAGTGGCTGGGATTCTACCAGGATTGGCACTAATCTCCCGGGGGCCACTGGAAGTCTTTTGGAAGAGTTTATAACAGGATTTTTAAATAAGCCAATTCTATAACTCATTAGCAGCAGCAACTGAGAAAGGGGCAGACTATAACTTCCACCATTATGCATTGCCCAATCAAATGCAAATGTTAAGCCAAGAGCAAAATGCCAGGATGACTCCAGTTTGCTAGGGTTTTGGCAGGGTGCACTTGGATTGATTTGAATTTCATTGAAGGATGAGGCATGAACTAAGTATGATGAGCATGTGCAGGGGTTTGCTGAGGTCATGGTCTCGTTTAACTGTAATACTTCCACTCCCTGTTGCTTACAGGAATTTTCATTGCACATTTTGTGAGTGGGCTATCTGAAGGGTTAAAATCAGCCCAGTATACTAATCAGCCTATCGATGCATACCTCCTGTTGGTGCCATTTTGATTGCATTCATTTCACAGTCCATCAATGCTTCTTCTTTTATCAAATACTCTAAAAATGTTGCTGTTTTCCAAAGCTGTCCTAACATTTAGCCTCACTACTTTTCTCATCATCTGAAGCCTTTTACAACTTCCTACACTTTGAATTTGTATTTTCTTCACACAACCTTGTACTTAATTATTGTAATTAAAATAGTTTCTGTGTAGTTAGATTGTGATTCTTTTAAAGAGACAATTTGTTTAGTATTGCTGCCACATACTTACAGATTGGACTTTCAAAAAATAATGATCATTCTCAGAACATATTTAGATGTACCTAAAATAGTCAACTCCACGGAAGAATCTTTGATTAGAGACTTTTAAAATGTTAGGTTGTGTTATTAGTTCAACATTATGTTTCGAAATACTGAGTCATACAATGCATTTATAACATGAATTATAATAAAGACAAATGCAGCAAATCCCTAGCAGGTTTTGCAGCATCTGTGGACAGAGAAACCGCTGACATTTTAAGATCTGAACTCAAGGTGACTAGAGTGACTTGCTCGGTTGTGCCTTCTTATTGTGGTCTGTTGTGGAGGTAACAGCGTTTTTAAAAGGAATGGATACCCAAAAAGCAGAATCACTAGTCACCCTACTGTACATCAGAGACATATCAGAGATGACCGCAAAACTACTCAGACCCCGAGGTATCATGCTAGCCCACAAAACAACAACCACCCTACGACAGCTACTGACGAATGTAAAGGATCCCATACCCACAACCAGCAAAACCAACATAATATACATAATGCCATGCAAGGATTGTAAGAAACATTACATCGGCCAAACTGGAAGAAAACTGACAATAAGGATACACGAACACCAACTAGCCAGCAAGAGACACGACCAGTTCTCACTGGTCTCAATACACACGGGCAAAGAAGGGCACGAATTTGACTGGGACGACACATGTGTGATAGCACGAGCCAAACCGAGACATGCCAGGGAATTCCTGGAGGCCTGGCATTCCAACCAGAACTCCCATCAACAAACACATTGAACTGGACCCGAAATATAAACCACTGAAAAACAGAACTGGAAGTAATGCCAACTACCCCAGCAAACCGACGCTTCACTGGAGGCGCACTAATGATGTTACCTAGCAGGGTGACGAAACGTCTGTGATCAAACACTCCGGCTCAGTGAGCAAGTCTACAAAAAGCAGGAAAGCCTTGGTACATGCTGTTTGGGCCCACATTCATGGAGTTTAGAAGAAAAAGAAGATTTTATTGAAATAAACAGCAATGTGACCATGACCAGACAATGGATGAGCAAATATTGATCAGAACAAAATGAAATGATTAAAGAAAGAGGAACCAACCCAATAAAGTAATAAAAATGCAACATGAAAAACAAAAAATGCTTAAAAGGAGCAGGGAGGTTATCTAAGACAGACAGTTCAAGAAGGCAGCTCACCAGTACCTTCTCCATTGTAATTGTAGATAGACAATAAATGCTGGCCTAGCCAGCAAAGCTGACATTCCATGAATGAATTATTTTTTAAAAGATATCATCTGCCCCCTACAAGCCAGCATCAGCAACAAAACCTGTAGTCTTGAAAATCTCCTTTGTCCTTTATTTCCCTTATTACTAGTTGCCTATTCTAACTTTGCTTTATTTGATATCTTTCCCACTACCTCAAAACATTCCCATTCCAAATGCCCAGTACTGCACCAGTTCAATTGCTATATTCCATGGGTGCATGTAGAACACTATAAGAAAAAAGTTCTTAGTATGTTGGAGATATACTGTGATAACGTAGTGATGCTGGTGCTTTTCTATTGTCAGCTTCCTTGGATTAGTGGGTGGTTGGTGGTGGGGTGCTAGTCATTGTTATCCAGGCAGCATGCCCTGAGATGTTGGGGAGTGCTGGACAGGATGGAGGCCTGAGGGTGGTTCATATGTGGAATGAACTGCCAGAGGAAGCGTTAGAATCAGGTACAGTTACAACGTTTAATAGACATTTGGAAAGGTTATGTAAGTAGGAATTAGATTTTATTGTCACATACTCAAGTACAGGGATAAAGGTGTACAGTGAAAAGTGTACAATGTCGCCGTTCTTGGCACCATCTTACGGACAAAGGTACCTAGGTACAAAATCGTAGGTACAAAGCAGAAAACAAAAGAAATAAGGTTAAAAGTTTAACATTGCAGTCCTTCTCAAGTGCTTAGCCATGCTGGGCTTGCACTCCCTACAAGAGTTTGATCTTCTCTGCATTGGGCTGGATCTCCCTTTACTGGGCACTGCAGCAGATGTCGGGGGACCTCTATCACCACCGGGCTGGGTTCAATCTTAGAGGGATATGGGCCAAACACAGGCAAATGCATCTACTTTAGTTTCGGAAACCTGGTCAGCATGGACAAGTTGGACCGAAGGGTCTGCTTTTGTGCTGTGTGTGACTCTCCTGACTAAGAAGCACCCTGGGGTCTCCTGGAGCTCAGAGCTTCAGATTGGGAGTTATTGCTGTCTACTCTCTCTCCACTGTCTGTGAGTTCCACGGGGAAATGAATTAGTGATTCCCCGTGGGCATGATAAGGGTTATCACGCAGAGTGTATTTTAAATGGAACTGGGTGCTTGCATGACCACATCCCTTTTTGGCATGGCTGTCATTGCCATGTTCTGTGATTTGAATGTCCAGCAACACAGGCAACAAGTTTGAAAAATCCTGTGTAAGGGTAAGTATGTAAGGTAGGTGAGGAGTTAGGTATCGGTGGGGTGGAGTAAGCTGCTTTGGAGATGATGCAATGTGGTAGGTGGTAATGGTGCCAGCTAAGTGATCCAGTGTCTAAGAGGGATATGACTCAGTCGGGAGAAAGGAGTTGGGATCCAGAGGGGGATGCAAGTTTACAGAGGTGGAGGCTGGTATACAAAGATCCAGGGCAGAGCTGTGTGTTGGATTCCCAGTGAGGAGGAGAGGGTAGGGAATGTGTGTGGGGAGTTCTCTGTGAAGAGTTTGGGCTAGCGTGGCTGCTCTCCCTCGCTGTGTGTGTGTTGGGGTGGGTGGTGTCCCAATGTGCGGGCAAGGGATGGTGATGCGTGTAGGTGGTAGTTAGGGGTGGATGGGTACCAGGAAAGAGCAGGAGGGCAGGAGCATGCACATCCGGGAAGAGGTGTCTGTCAGGCCCTGGGCAAAGCCGAGAGAGTCGGGGGTTGTTGACTCCAGGAGAGTTGTAGATACTGTTGGCTCCTGGGAGGGGCATGGTGGTCACCTATTGGATCCTGGGGAATGGGGAGGCACTTGGTGCGTGCCAAAAGGTGGAGGGGGTATCTTTCAGGTGACAGAATTAAGGAAGGGGTTTTTATGTCCTGCAGATGAGCCATGAGTGGGGAAAGCAAAGGTGGAGGAACAAAAATAAATGTACGGTTCAGGGTTTGCACTGAAAAACTTCCACAATTTGTAAAACCTTAATTGGTCACCACCTCAGCATTATACCAACTATTTCATTTCCACTGAGGGAAACTACCAATTTTAGCACTTGCCAAGGCCCAGCAATTTTTCCTGGTATCTGTTCTACACTTTGCAGTTCTAATTTCTTAAATCAATGTGAATTTGAGAATTGCTCAAAATTGAGTATTGTTGCAATTTGCATATATGTAGCTTTCAGCTTATGTAAAGAACAGGAAAGATCAAGCCAATTGTGTCTTTATAATTGAGCAAAAACTTGAGGGAATTTTGTTTCCTGTTGTTCTCCCTCATGAAAGCTTGTGCCTTTTTGAGATTTGATGTTCTTGTGATTCTGTCCTCCATAAGTGCAAGATGACAAGTTTCAAAAGCATGTCTTTTTCAGCAATTCTCATTTTCCATATTACCATGTGATTAAATAAGAATCATGAACAAAAATAATATTGTTCAGTTGTCAGTTTCACCAATTTGTCTTTTTGAATCTAACTTCTAAAAACAAATTCAAAGGTAATGGAAAATTGAGATTATTTAATGAAATGTGTGTATGTTTTTTGACGACACTACTCTTAAGGAACTAAGTGTTAGGTACAGCTATTAATTGCGCTGCTGGATTTTACACATTGCTTTGACAATATCTTGTGGAAGTATTAATATTAATTAATTTGAATTGGTTTTATTTACATTAAAGTGTCTATTTCTGTGAGATACCCTTTTGGTTGTGATAACATTTTCGTAAAATTTGTAGCATGTATTACCTCAAAGTGGCCACAAGATGGTGGAAGTAGTCTTCAGAAGTTTTTCTTTGCCCTTGTTAGACCTTATGATTTATAAATTTGTTTATTTATCTGTATTGTTACGTATATTCTTAAAAAAAGAAGAAAGAACAAACTGTGAAGTTTTGATCTTTTTCTCCAGACAGGATAATAATATCGATTCTACATCTTCCTTTAAAGAATGCAGTGAACAAGAGGCACCTGAACTGAAACAGGGTAAGTTAACTTGACAATGTAGTGCTGCATTTAATTTTAAAAATCTTTTTATATAATTTGAATATATAATTTAAAATTTTAAAGTGAATTAGTATTTTAGTAGTCAGCAATCAAAAACTAAATTAGCTTTACCTAAGTTTTAGTTTCTTAATCTTAACTTAATCTTTTATTTCTATCACGTTAAATACTATTCATTTACCATATCAGGAATCTTTGGGATAAGATTGTTCCAATTATCAAAATTGGGTTTCTAGTTCAACTGTTATTTAAATGGCCATTTTGTTTTCAAAATGAGAAACAGAAAGAAATGAGAAATTAAAAATTATACAAAGCTCATGGGTTAATGAACACTAGAGGGTGCCATTTCAGTTTTTAATGATGTTGCATACTTTGTATAATATGCAGTGGATTGCATTTAAGTCATTCTTTCTGATTCCTGGTCTTTGTTTCATTATAAACCATGTAATTTATTGAAACACTACAAATGAGTAGTTAAAGCAATTTTGCATTGGTTAATTATGTGCAAAATTAATGAAAGGAATTTAAATAAGAATAAAGAAAAGGGAATCGCCCTTGTTGAATTTTTTTGAGGGGCAATTCCTTTTAAATTATCATTGTTTTATACATTTTTAATATATAATTTCCCTAGAGAATGTGAAGGTGAACCAGTTTCTTGAACTGCTGCAGTTAATGTGGTGGTAATAATCCCAGTGTGATGTTCAGGGAGGTGTTCCAAAATTGAAAGGTGGTATTCTTCCAAATTGAGATTATGTGTTGCTTGGTGGTGTTTCCATGTGTCTGCCGACCTGGCCCTTCGGGCCGGTAGAGGTCAAAGGTTTCGAGGATAACTTTAGGAGTCTTGGTGAGTTGCTGCACTGTATCAAACTTTATTCTTTATGGGATGTAGATGTTGCCGGCCATCCCTAATTACCAAGTGAGTGACTTGCTAGCCTTAGGGATCTGTGTCGTTACACAGGTAGACCAGACCAGGTACGGACAGCAGTTTCCATTCCTAAAGTACATAGCTTTTTCATGACATTCAGTGTTAGTTTCAGCTGTGGCAATGAAACTCTTTCAGTTCCTTAATTAAAAGTTATTTTGGGTGTTCAGGTACTTGTTTCCTTTGATCTGTGCAAGTGAAGGAGCATTGACATTGTCTACAGTTTAAAATACAAATCCCTTTGTAACTAAATAGCCTTTATTTATTGATAATGAGAGAATCTTCTTAAATTGCTAGATTTTTGGGGATGGCAAGTGTGATTAGTTTTGGAGGTTAATGTTTGTATCCAGCGCATATCACTGAAATTCAGCATAGTCTTCACCTGTGATATAACTACATCAAACATCAGGAGGATTGGAGGATTTATTAGTAATTTACAGCATGATCAAATGATGATGGACCATGTCACAAACATTAGTTTTAATTCCTCAAGTTTTGTGCCTGGCCTTTTCAGATGTGTGTAATTTAATTGACACATACATTCTTACACAAGCTGTTTAATTATATATTTTGGCCCACTGTACAAACAGCAGTGAGGCATGTGCACTGAATCCTTTCCTGTTACCAAATCTTACATTAACAAATATGATGGTTAATAGTCCTTTTTTTGTTGACATATTGCAAGAAGTTAAATATTTTGTTAAACGTTCTCAACTGTAAAAAAAAATTGAAGCACTTGACATCCTTAATTCAGTGGTTCTTCACTGTTCATCTATATTAGTTATGAGTACATCAGATGAATCTGATGTATTAAAAGTATTTTCAATGTTTTCAGCTATTTCCAGTCCTGCATATTACTGATTTCTAAAAATCTCAAATGCTCAAAGTTGAATGATGGTTTTTGTTTGCTTTACATGTTTCCCTTGCCAAACAACCTGTGCAGTGGGCATTTATTTTTGTCCTTTTTTCATTTATTATATTCATCTTTTTGTATAAATAATTTTTGTTGAGCTAAAGTGTTATGCGATATGGTCCAAATGCTGGTATATGGAGTTAGGCCACAGATCAGCCATGATCTCATTGAATGGAGGAACAGGGTTCCTGAAGCTGAATAGCCTACTCCTTCTCCAATGCATTGATTGGTGTAGGCAGACCCCTTTTTTAGTTGATATCCAGAAGATTAGCAACCTTGAATATCCAAGTAGAGATAACCAATGTCATTTTGGGTACACTAACTACTGGATCATAAATCTCAACCTAGCTCAGTGACTGTTCTGAATGTGCTCAAACCTATATCAAAATTTATTGAATTTAAAATAGAATATAAAACTTAAAATCAGAATCTATTTAACCCATTCATTTGATTCTCTGTTCACCATATAGTTTGCACAACTTTGCTTGCCACATGTTTATTTCCTGAGATACAATACCCAAAGTTAAAACTCCCTGAAAAATCTAAATTTCTCTTCAAAGCCCAGCAGGATTTCTTCGTTTAATAAGCTAACATTGTGTTCTATCCGAATAGCATGCAATCTACCGATCATCTTTCCTGAGGCCTGAAAGGACTGATGATTTATTTTGCGAACATTACGATGATTTTGCAGGTACACCAGATAAAATTTGAACTGAAAAGACCAGTTGTTACCTTGAGAATTTCTTAGATGAACTGATAAGCCTCAACATTTCAACAGCACATTCTGCCTGTTATCTGTCAAACAGAGTACAAACCAAATCCCTTTGTGTTCAAATATGTGTCTCTGCTTCACTGGTTGGTGAATTTGATGTTCACCCACCTTTGTTTCGTCTTATTTGTATTTTATCCTAAATAACAGTCGCTTAGTAGGTCAGTGGAAACGGGATTTACATCTTATTCTGCTTGACAAAAAAAAAAGTCTGGAATGAAGAGTCTAATGATGACTATAAAACCATTGTCAATTGTCGGAAAAACCCATCTGGTTCACTAATGTCCATTAGAGAAGGAAACTGCTGTCCTTACCTGGTCTGGCCTACATGTGACTCCAGACCCACTGCAATTTGGTTGACTCTGAACTTCCCTCTGGGCAATTAGGGATGGGCAATAAATGCTGCCTAGCCAATGACCCCACATCCCATGAATGAGTTTAAAAAAAATACAAAATTGAGGAACTTAATTGTGTATAATGTTATAATTAAACTATTTTATTCTGTGTCATGAATAAGTGAAATGTTGATTGCATGAGATTCATGTAAATGACAAATGTAGACTTTTTTTGTGGTGAAATGATTTCACAATGAATATGGAATGATACCTCAGAAGGGAGAACTTCAGATCCTTCTGTATCCTAATTCTTATTCTGAGCACAGATGAGTTATTGAAAAGGCGTGTAAGAATTGTTGTAACTCTAGAAAAACATTCATATGCTCTGTTCAGGAATCCGCATAATAATATATCAATTGGAATTTTTCAGTGCCCTAACAGAGAACTCTGTGCAATGAGAACCTTGTAATACCAGAGCTGTGATCTCCACAAAGACTGAGAACTTTAATAAAGGGATTGCAACTCCCAGTTACCAGTTTTGAATTGACATGACAAGATTGTATTTTTTTTTACAGCTCTACTAGAATAAATGACAGGTGGTGACATTCTGCGTCTGCTGCCTTGTCCTTCTCAGTAGTGGAGGTCATGGGTTTACGAAGTGCCCTCCAAGTCACACAGCATCCTGACTAGGCACTGTATTAGTGGTCCTTCACTGGTGGTGGGTCAAAACCCTGTAACTCTCTTCCTAATAACTGTTGGCATTGCAATACCTGCAGGACTGCAGTGCCTCACCACTGCCTTCTCTTAGGAGAATTAGGGTTGGGTGGTCTGACCAGTGACATCCATTATCCATGAATAAATATAAAAAAAAGGTGGTAGGTCAAGTTAAATGGAGACTATAGATTGGATTTTGAGAGGTTTGTTGTTGAGGGGAACAGTCTTTTAATTGTGTGTGTGTGTGTGTCTGTCTATCTGTCTGTCTGTTTGGGGGGCGGGGCAGAGGTGGAGGTGGTAGCAATGGAGAGCAGTGGCATTACTGGCAAATGCCAGCAGCACAGTGCCCTGACAGCCCCAGACACACCTGTTCCCTCCGTCACCACTGCTGATGTCAGATTGGTCTTCCTGAGAGCAGACCCAAGGAAAGCTTCAGGCCCAGACAGTGTCCCCAGCCGAGCACTCAGGTCCTGTGTGGACCAGCTGGCGGAGGTATTCACTGACATCTTCATCCTCTCCTTCCTACAAGCCGAAGTCCCCACCTGCTTCAAGATGACCACCATCACCCCCGTACCTAAAAAAGCACATGCAACGTGCCTTACTGACTACCACCCAGCGGCTTTGACCTTCATAATCGTGAATTGCTTCGAGAGGCTGGTCGTAGCCCACATCAGCTCCAGTCTCCCAACCTGCCACGATCCCCTACAGTTTGCATACCGACATAACAGGTCCACAGCGGACAGTATTTCCTTAGCCCTGCACTATTCTGTAGAACATCTGGACAACAGGGACACCTACGTCAGACTCCTGCTCATCGACTACAGCCCTCAACACCATTATCCCCTCCAGACTGATCTCAATACTACGTGACCTTGGTCTCGGCTCTGCCCTATGCAACTGTATCCTCAGCTTCCTCACCCATAGACTGCAATCAGTGAAGATAGACAGCTGCATCTCCTCCACGATAACACTCCACACTGGAGCTCCCGCCCGTACTCCTTGTATACCCACGACTGTGTTGCCAAATTCTGAACAAATGTTTGCTGATAACACAACTGTGGTAGGACTGATATCAAACAACGATGAGTCAGACGACAGAAAGGAGATAGAGGGTTTGGTGATGTGGTTCAGTGATAACAACCTCTCTCTCAATGTTGGCAAAACTAAAGCACTGATCATTGACCTTGGAAAGAAGGGAAGTGAACACGTCCCCATCTACATCAATGGAGCAAAGGTTGAGAGTACCAAGTTCCTAGGAGTGACGATAACCAACAACCCGTCCTGGACTTCCCACGTAGATGCAATGGTCAAAAATGTATAACAGCACTTCTTCCTAGGCAATTTGGCATGTCCAAAAGGACCCTCACCAACGTCTACAGATGCACCATAGAAAGCATACTGTCTGGGTGCATAACGGCCTGGTATAGCAACTGCTCTGCCCAGGTCCATAAGAAACTACACAAGCTGGTGTGCACAGCCCAGACCATCACAGAAGCCAATCTTCTATCCAAGGACTCCGTTTACATAGCTTGTTGCCATAGAAAAGCTGCCAACATTATCAAAGACCCATCTCACCCCGGTAATGCTCTCCTACAACCTCTTCTGTCAGGCACAAGATACAGAAGCTTGAACACCCGCACCAGCAGGTTCAAGAACAGCTTCTTCTCTACTGTTATTAGACTGATGAGTGGACTCTCTAACTTCAAATAATGTTGATCTTGTTAATGTTGTTCTTGCCTCGAGCACGTCCTGTGCAGTATAACCTGTATGCGTCACTCTTTCCAAGTTTTCTCACCCTGTGATCTGTATGTCCTTGCTTACTATGATCTGCCTCTACTGCTCGCAACCAAAGCTTTTCACTGTACTTAGGTACACATGACAATAAATCAAATCAAATCATCATTGTATTTCTATCTATTCTGTAGATCAACTTCTACCATATTCATTTTTTATCATTTCAAAACCTACTGAAGTCAAACCCATGAATCACTTACTCAGATTTAAATATTTAAACATTTTATTTAACTTCTACACAATTAAAATGGAAGTTCAAAAGTTTGTCATCTGGAGGTGCAGTGGTTTTTGTGATTTTTAGTTCAAAAGCAGGTGTGTTAGTGAGCAAATCAATGATCACATCTTACTCCATTAGCTTTTCTTCTGGTTCAATGAAATCCTACAGCATAAAAATCTTTGCTTAAACTGATTAATTTTAAATCAATGATACCAAAAACTTGTATGTGTGAAATATTACTAGTTCAGTAACATATGAAATTTTGAAATGGTGATATAATAATTGGGTTTTCTTGTTACGTTCTAGTTATGAATGATTTACAAAAATCTTTAGCAAGATGTGCCTTTTTTTGTTTTTGGTAATTGATATAATGAGTTGATTGGTCAATAATCTGCATTTGTTCTTTCTGAATCAGGTGGAGGCTCTGGGGATGAAAGTGATGCCCTTAGCATTAATGCTGAAACGTATGATAGTGACATAGAACAAAACTGCAATGATCAGGAAGACAGCACAGATGTGATACCTCAGAAAAGTACGGCCGCTCGTGCTGGTGTTGAAGATGAAATACAAAAAGACATTGAAAAGAGCGTAAAGGAGATTTTAGGCCTGTCGAGCTCCATCACAGGAAGACATCAATCAGCTGGTTCTCCTAATCCTGACCGGGATGGTCTTCAGCCTTCAGCACAGCAACTGGAATTACTTGAGCTGGAAATGCGGGCCAGGGCAATTAAAGCTCTAATGAGAGCTGGTGACACCAAAACACAACCTTAGGAACTAAAACTGTTTGTCCACCAATGAAGAGAAGGTGTGCTGTGTTGTAACCTTACGTTGCACGTGGAGCCCAATAGAATTCTCTGATGTTTTCACTCACCCTATTTCTCCCATCCCTCAAATTGGAAATTTACTTTGTGCATCATCTCTGCTAGCAATTTTTTAAAAATGTTATTCTATTTATCATATTTGAAGTCCATTAGTTATCTATTTTTCAGGATTACGTTATAGATCACAACTTTAGTGTTACAACCACTTTGTAAAAAATGTCATTCTGTGATAATATTCTGTAATACATTGAATTTGTGTGAAGTTCATGTATATTGTACCTGAAGGCCGATTACCTGTTTGTGAAATGGTAAATGGCTTTTCTTCATTTAGTCAAATATTTACATCCTAATGCTGATGTAGATGTTGAAATGTTTGTCAACTTTTAACTAATGGGAAACGAATACGCATTTGTGTCAAGTCTTATCATTTAATTTGAGCCAGCATTTTGGAGGAAACGTCTGAAGGAGAAACTCATGATTTAAAGAGTAAAAAATAGTATTTAAAATGTGTGTTAAAATATGTCTTGTCATGCTGAGCACTGTTATAAAATTACAATGGTTTTGAATGTCATTCTTTGCGGCTATTTGACTATAGTAAGAGGTCATTTTTTCTAAGCCCTAGTTGAAGTGGGTAATATTCTAAATTGAGTGTATCAAAAAATATTTAAATAGGATTTTAAGCATAGAAACCAGGTGCATTTTTAGAGCAAGGAGCTCTCCTAAATACCGAATATTTGGATCTTGTATTCGTAATGTTGAAATAGCTGGGGAATATATTTGCCCAGTTAACTTTTTCAACAAGAGAAAAGTTGAGTAAAAATTGAAATTAAGACCACTCATGTTTTATTTACTTTTTTAAAGGTTAACTTCAACACACTGCGGATATAGTATGCTGGCCTATGGTTGCAATAGATCAGTGGACTTAAAGATATATATTTTTCAGTATAGTGGGGCGTGAAGCAATCAATTCCTAAATGATTTGAAATTGCCCGTTGAAAATATGTAAAATATATTTTAATTTGATAAGAGAGAAGTCCTATGGTTTCTTTTGCTGAAATCTCTATTTTCGAGATTAGTTCTTAGAATTCTGCTTCCAATTCAGCTTAGATTTGAAAACATACCGTGTTTAGATATTTTTCTAATTAACCTTTCAGAAATCTTCTGACAAACTTCTGAAGCAGCTGGGACTTGAACCCAGGCCTTCCGGCCCAGAAATGGGGAAATACCATCGTCCGCAGAGCCCTAATATTCTAGATTTATGCAATAGAAGAGTGTTGCATTATTTTAAAACTATTTTTGCAAACAGTTGCTTTTTATTTTAGGAAATGTATTATTTCTTGATTGAAAAGTTTTTTTTCATTAGGAAAACACCCCATTACTTTTAATTTTTGGAAATCCTGCGCTACAAATAGTATCAAACTTTATATCCCAATTTTGCTCCTTTAAGCAGGACGGAACAGAATTTGCCACAATATTGAAAGTGGCCACTTATCTAAATGCAACAGAGCAATTATTTCACCCACTGTCAGATTTCCGAACATTCCCCTGGAAAACAGAATGGCATTTTCTAGTGTTTACATTTATATCAGTTGTGGGTTGTTGTCATTCTCAGCTGTCTGTATTCAAATATAATTAAACTCCAATTTTTTTTAATAACTTGTATGCTTATGTTTAATACTGGGTTGGTTTGAATCATTCAGGCTTGCTTTACCTAACTAACAAGTAATTGTAAATGAGTTGGCATTTACACCTGGATGACTGAAGTACTGTCTTCAATATGTATTTGGCCTCATGGTATTTTTAATAAGATCAACAATTAGTATTAAATTTATTAGCTTACAAAGTCATATTGAAGCAAGCTCGCTGAGAACCCTTAATGGGGGTGCCATAGACTTTTAGAATCATAGTCATACGCACAGAAACAGACCCTTCGGTCTAACCAGTCTATGCCGACCATAAATAAACTCGTCCCACCTGCTTGTCCTTGGCCCATATCCCTCCAAACATTTCTTATGCATGTAGTTGTCCAAATGTCTTTTAAACATTGTAACTGTACCGGCATCCACCACTTCCTATGGAAATTCATTCCACAGATGAACTACTCTGTGTAAAAAGTTTTCCCCCCTGTCTTTTTTTAAATCTCTCTCCTCTCACCTTAAAGATATGCCCCACAGTCTTGAAATCCTCCACCCAAAGGAGAAAACACCTGCCATTCACCACCTCACTTCACATCAAAATTGAGTATTTTCAAAATTTAAGTACACATTTGATTTTCTTTCCATTCCTTCCCTTTGTTTTCTATATTTGCTTTTAAATCTACCCATCTAATTGTTCTGAATTTAATGTTTTTTTGATAGCTCTCTATGGTCTGGTTGGAGACATCCCACTGATAATTATATCGTCCTAAAGATTGATCAGAACCTAGAGCGGTAGTTTTTTGATAAATCTCAGCTTGGACACAACATAAATCATAAATATTACCTTTTTATTATTCAGGATGTCGAGAGCAGTTAAGGCCTGTAAATTGTTGAAGTATTATCATCTTTTTTTGTTTAAGGCAACATTCTGGTTTTGTTGTTTTGAGTTCTGGAATGGAATCATAGAATCCCTCCAGTGTGGAAACAGACCGTTCAGCCCAATAAGTCCACAGTTTCTCTCTGAAATGCATCTCACCCAGACTCACACCCCCCCCCCCCCCCCCCCCCCCCCATTCCCGGTATTTCCCATAGCTAATTCACCGAACCTGCACGTCACTGAACACTACAGGCAATTTAGCATAGCCAATCCACCTAACCAGCACATCTTTGGACTGTGGGAGGAAACCAGAGCACCCAGAGGAAACCTGTGCAGACACAGTGGGGAATGTGCAAACAACACACACACACACACCTACCTCGCGTGGAACCCAGGTCCCTGGCACTGAGGTAGCGATGCTAACCACTGCGCCACCATGCTGCCCCAACTCAGCCCCAGAAAGACAGCTAGCATAGAATTGAAGATATTTTGATTGAAAGTAAATAATTTAATGACAAAAGTGCAAGTAGGACCAAATAGCTCAAAAATTAAAAATATAATTTAGGAGAGAAGAATTCAGTTACATTTTAAGCAGGTTTTATGAAGTCAGTAAATTGTTTTGAGTTTTGCATTAGATATGTATCTTACACCTTAGACCAGAAATTGAGCACAACAAAGTTAATAGGATGAATATTTCCTCTACTTGTAGATTTTAAGGCAAAGGTAGCAAACGTATAGGTGACTTCAACGGAATTCCTCATGACTGTAGCTCAAAGCACGCAACTATGGACAGTTTCATTGACCGATGCCACAAAGTTTACGCAGGAAGAAAAAGAATAATATTTATCAAGTAATATGTGTGACCTCTTTTGAAGGTTGTGCCTAAATCTCATTATTAGAACAGACTGAAGGGAATTGGCTTCGATCTGCCAGCACTTGGCTGACCCAAGTGGGGAAAAAAATTCAAGCCCGCCATGTACATATTTTGTATTGACCACAAGTTCTAAAAGTGAAAAGATAAACTTCAGTCATTTAAATAGAAAAAGCCTTGCTGACTGGTTGAGCATATATTTTCCCAACCTAATTGTCCAGAGGACAATTAAGACACAACCCCATGCTTTGAGTCTGGAGTCCCATGTAGACCAGTCTGGATGAAGATGGTAGATTTCCTTCCTCAAGGACATTAGTGAAACAGATGGTGTTTCACAGCAATCGATGTTGGTTAGGCTAGCCTTTTTACGCCAGATTTTTTTTTCCACTCAGTAGTTTGGCAAAATTGCAGGATAATTCCAATGTTATAGCATGCATTTTCAGGCAATGATGACATAACTGTTTAAGGGAAAGTGATCCTAAAACTGCTGTTTTTTTAAAATTCATACACGAGAGGAGGGTGTCGCTGGCTAGGCCAGCAATTATTGCCCATTGCCTGGAGGGCAGTTAAGAGTCAACCACATTGCTGTGGGTCTGGAGTCACATGTAGACCAGTCCAGATAAGAATGGCAGTTTCCTTCGCTAGAGGTCATTAGTGGACCAGATGGATTTTTCTGACCATTTACAATGAATGCATGGTCATCACGAGAGTCTCAATCCCAGATTTTTTTTATTTCATTTGAATTCCACTACCTGCTGTGGGAGTATTTGAACCTAGGTCCCTAGAACACTACCTGAGTCTCTGGATTCACAGCCCAGCAATAATACCACTAGGCCATTGCCCACCTAAATTACTGAGGGTTAATGTTTGTGACATTTTTATCAATAGCCATATCCAGTATGTTTCATCACAAACGCCTCAAACAGAATCTTCAGAAATAACATGATGAGACTAAAAATGTGAAAGATCAACAATGCAAATCGATTAATTTTATCAACCAGATGAACTCCTCAAGGACAAATCCTTAAATAATCCTCATCACTATTTGATGCTCCAGAATCTTGCTATGCATGGCCAGAAATTGTGTATTCCTGAAACTAATGGATCAAAAAATATACTTTTATTTACTGTGAATTTCAAAGTATCATCTGAAAACAAGAAATATATTAATATTGATGGATCAGGTGGGGCTTCTCAATAAAATTGAAATTGTCAGACTGTCACAGTACTTTACTACCTTAAACTGAAATTCAATATACATAGTTTTGGTGGGCTTCCTTATTATCCTAAGCTCTTAATACTGCTGATGTGACATTGCACATTCCTAAGGCATCACATGCCCATAAAGATGGTTATCATATGGTCAAGTACATGCACTTGCCAGCCAATGCCTTGCTAAACTCCCCCTCCTCAGCTATCCTAAGCAGTCATCCTTAATGGACAAGTTGATCATTTTGCTGGTATCAAGTTGGAAATGTTTTTGCTTTTTATTACAATGCAAGCTTCCGTTCTTGCTTAGTAATCAACTTTACTTGTCAATTTCTTCTCTCCAGTACTTCCCAAATTACTCAATGTTAAGCAAAACAGTTTATTTAAACACTGCAGTTAAAATACAACCAAAAGAAACGGGAATTTAGAATAATTTAACTCTATTAGAAACTTAGAATAATAGATACAGTAACTATTACCAATTAACTGTTTGAATATAGCAACAACCCATAAACACAACCCTTGGCAAAAAAGGCAAATTCAGACATACATTCTCACATGCAGTTCTCCAATCCAGGAAGAAAAAAAAATCATTGAGAAAATTTAGAGAGAGTAGCAGCTAGGAGGGCAACATTCACTATAGCTTCCAACTCTGTTGAGACCACAATAGCTTCTGATGCTACTCAGAAATCCTGATCTGAGAGAGTTGGCCACACCAATTCAGGCTGCATTAATAAAAAAAACCCAAGGCCTCCCAAGCTGTTTACTCAAGTGGTCTTCCTTCGATGCCTCTCATTCAATCTCTTAAGAGAAACCAGGACTTTTAAAGCTACAGCATCATCACACTATGTTGAAAGAGCAAGGGAGCTCTTCCCACATCACCTGGCCAAATATTCATTTCATAACCAACATCATTAAATGTGTGATCAACAATGACTAGATTTCAAAGTGCTTTTGGACAATGAGTTTGTGCAACGTGCCACATAAATAAAAGCTTCTGTAACATTAGTTTTTCCCAAACTATGCTGACTCCAGACGTTGCTTCAACCTGCAGGAACAACTAGACATCACAGCTTGCCTGAAATAATGTTTATTGCCAATAAACCACTGATCACAAAGGCTGATTAAAACTTTGTGTTTTGCCCCATGCCCACACTTTCCCACCTCTTAACTAGTAGCCCAGTTTCCCTTCCCTCAGGTCATTTTCAAAGTTTCAAACCTGCCTTAAGCTAAAGATATTTTGCCCTTTGCCATGTTTCCATCTCTGTTTTAAGTTCTGCTTGTCCTTTGTCCTTCTAGATTTGTATCAGAAGTAAGGGTTACATTGGATCTGAGGAGTAAGTTAATAGCTATTTGTAATTCCATATTTAAGATTGTTTGAGATCCTAATAAGTGAATACACTGGTTTTGTACTCTCCTGGATACTGTCCCTTGTATCAACTGATCAGAGTACATATTAGTTCAGAAGCATTTGTAGTTTGTGAATTGTTTAATTATTAATAAATCATCTTGAGCAATAACCAATAATAAAGAAAGAACTTTACTCATGCCCTCAGAACATAAGAACTATATAGGAGTAGGCAATTCAGCCCCTTGAGCCTTCTCTGCCATTCAATACAATCACTGTTGGTCTTATCTCAGCCTCAACTCCACTTTCCTGCCTGCTCTTTATAACTCTCCAAACCATTACTAATTAAAAATCTGCCTCCTCCTTAAATTATTTCCATATCCTGGTTTCCACCACACACTGGGGTCTGAAATTCTTCTAAATCATTTACTTCAGTCACTCTCTGTGGTAATGACTTCCATATCTCAGAATGATGCAAAGCACCAATGGAATATTTTGAATTAATGTCCAAATTGTGCAGGCAAATATGTAAATCTGTACAGAACAAGAACCACAAACGACAAATTAATGATAGTCTAATTTTTGTGTATGTGTATGTAGTTGGTCAAATGATGAACATTTCCAAGAAAACCAGGAAATCGCCTTGGTCTTCAGATAGTACCATTTTAGTTTAGCTGAACAGACAGCTTGGTTTCAGTTATCTGGACTGGA